ATCAAGAATATCCCTTGTGGTCGCAGAGCTAGGGGGTGGTGTGCTGCAGTAGGAAACCACACTGCAGTGGAACTGGGCAGTGGTGGGCAAGTGGAACAAAAATACTGCATGGCTTCTTGACAATACCACCCTCACCCCACTGCAGCCTCACATCCATTAGTTGTAAAGGCTTTTGGTGTTTATGGCTCCCACATCAAAACCACAGGTAGGTGCTCACATTAAATCTGCTGGGTGGGATGGAATGAAATCAACAGAGGCCTGGGCTCAAATCCTTACTCTGGGGTTGACCTTAGGCAGGTTTCCTGGCTTTTCTGTCAACCTGGCCCTGCAGCTCTTTCTAGCAGTTCTTTATCGCTGCTGCAAGTGCCCACCCAACCAGAGCAGGAGCTGGTCAAGTATCTTTTCCTCTCTGTCCTCTCCTCTTCCCTAGTGCGGAGAGGTCAGCATCATGAATGCCAAAGTCTGCCCTTCAGGCCCTCTCCTGCTCCCTCGCCTCACCGCTCTCCTCTCCTGACTTGGGACAGACACTGGCATCAGGGCTGCCACTGATGGCCTGTGTTTCAATAGACTACCTCTTCCCCCTCCATACTACGGGGTGGACACGGGTTTTCAAAAATAGCTAGTTATTTGCTTATCTACAAAGGGGGGGGGGTGATCGAGGGCAAAATCAATTACTATTTTTCATCTTTGACAAAGTAATTAAGGCCATAGTGACTGCTAATTCCGCCCGAATGGCTGCGCTGTGATGGATGCGGATTTACGGCCTCCTCGGCGGCAGAGACAGTGGTGCAGCGGCCGGGCGGATTATCACTCCAAACAGGCGGCCCTGTGTGTGTGTGTGTTGGGGGGGGGGGGGGGCGCGGAAAGGAGACGGGGTGTGGGGGGCCCGCATCCGGAGGATTTGAGCCTTTTATTCTAACACTGAGGCTCCATCCTTGGCACTTACCGAGCGGGGACTCACAGCCCTGTGCCTGAGCTGTCCCCGGCCTCCCGCGCCAGCACGCCCCCTCCAGTCCTCCAACCCTACCCTGCGGCCCCGCTGGGTGCCCGTCCCCCGCTCTGGATTCAGCACGACCTTCCTAGGGCTGCTGGCTCTAAACCCTCCCACCACTCTCCCTGTAGCCCCTCCTTTCCAGAACCTTGCGGCTAGACGCGGGGGAGGGAGGGAGCCAAAGCTGAGCTTCTTCCAAAGCCCTCCCCTTCCCAGGGCGGCTGTGTTCCTCCTGCGTCAGCCACCTCTGACCATCCAGGGCCTCACGCAGGAAACCGAGTGCGCACTTGGCTAGGGAGGGCCTGCAGGCTCAACGTCAGGCCTGGGGACTGAGTGGGGAGTGGCGTCACTGGGACCTAGAGTCACAGCTTGGGGCGTTCTCCCCGTTCCGGGGGCGCCGGACTGGGACATCTGTGCGCCCAGAGCGTGGACGAGCTGGGTGGGAGCTCAGCGATCACGCGGCATGGTGCGGGAGTGGCTCAGATGCAAACTGAGGAAACTGGCCAGAACTTTTCGTAGTCGTGACTGGTGGAAGTTGGCCCAGGACCCACGGAGCTTGGAGAGGGGGTGCGCCTCCGCCCCGCCACGTTCTCGCGTCCTGGTTTGGCTCCATGAAAACGGGAGATCTGTTTTGAAGGAAGCCCCCTCTCCCCAGGTTTCCCAGTGGCTCCCAGAGTCCCGGGTGTTTCCCCGCGCCCACCCAGTGAGCACAAGCTCACGCCCCAGGGCTTCTTGGCTCCGCTTGCGGCCCTGACCTTCCGCAGCCAAAACGCACCAGACCCACCCGGTCTCTCTCACTAGCCTGGTGTCCTTCGGGACGGAGCGGGTCTCCGAGGAGAATTAGGCGCTTCTCTCCCCGCCCAGCCCAGCCCTGGGAAAGGGGTTGGGAGATTTTCTAGGGTCATGGGGAGATTTTATGAGTTTCCGTTTCCCCAGGTTTAAAACTGGGGAAAGGTTGTTGTCAATACAAAATGAGTCAATTCATGGAAAGCTCTTGCACAGTGGTTCAATGCTGAGGACTTAGTAAATGTTAACTCAAAACTGCGATAAACGCGGCCTGGAACCCGCAAGGCAGCTCTCAAGAAGGGTCTCTTCAGGGAACCTGTCCTCCTTCAATATCGGTGCGGACCAGGATCCCCAGCCTTCTTCCATCAGAGGGCCCCGCAGGCGGGCGAGCCTGGGAGCAGGGCGTGGGAACGCCTGCCGGCGAGCCCCTGGAAAGTGGCGGGAGGGGGGGGGGTGTCTGCACGGCGCCCCAGGCCCCCACCACAATCTGTTGCAGCAGCTTTCCCCGCCCTGGGCATTGCCCTCCCGCTGCGTGGGGATGGCCCAGCCCGTGCAAACGCGCTGACCCCAAGGCTGGCTTCGGGGAAGGGACTGAGTGCTTTCTGTAGCTCCCCCCCGGGGGGTGGGGGGTGGGTGGAGAGAGAGGGCAGGGGTTACCCAAACCAGGCCCTCAGGAAAGAGGGAAGAGAAGCGGTTTACCTACGAATCCTCTTCCACTCTCCAAACTACACCTTCTTTATAAAAAGGTGTTTTTGTACCCAAAGGAAAGTCCCTCTTTTTATCTCCACGGCCACCCTCACCCCCATCAGAGTAGGGCAGCCCAGCTTCCCATGGCTTCCTGGATGGCCAGCCCTGCCACCTGGCTGCCCGGACCCTGGTTCTGAGGGTGTCTAAGACCTCCCGCTTCCAAACCAGGCCTCGCTGCGCTGAATTTCTTTTGAGAGGGCTAAGAAGAAAACACAAGTCTCCTTTGACTTTGAAAGTGACCTAAGAACCAGGTCAGTGTTGAAGATAACTTTCCTTTTTATTTCTCTAAAATATTTCCAGAGGAACTTAACAAATCCATTAAGGGCAATCGTAATTTTTACACAAGGATTTCTGTTGTACCAATAGAGATAAAACAGGAATGCAAACGGTAGACCTCAATTTTTAAGTGGAAGTCCAGGATCCCTCTAACACTGGTCGTCTGGAAGGGTAGGGCTGTGAGACTCTAAGTCCCCATACATGCAGGTGAGTACCCTTATCCGAGCAGCCGTTATTATGTGGCAACCATTGCAGAGCTGTGGTGCTATGAGCAGACCCTCAATCGTTTTTTTGTGTTTTTTTGGGGAGAGGGTTTAATATTGAGGAATCCTCTGCTTGCAGATTTGGAGAGGCAGCTACGGGTGTAGTAGCAGAGAAAGATGGGAACATGATGGTGATTTAACTCCTTCCCCAGCGCCCACCTCGGCAGCCCAATCCGCTCTGCGTCTCTCCTTGGGTGCAGTGGGACGTGTCCCTTCCCATGTTTTCCTTAATTAGGGAGAGGCAAACTTCTGTCATCTCCTCCCGCTGGCTTCGGTTTAGTAATCAGACTCACATGAGTCACGCTGAACACGCAGCCCCCCTCCCTCCCGAGTGACAGCAACGGGCCAGCATACTCACGGCTGTTGTCCCTTTAAAACTCGAATCCATGGGGGTAATGATTTATCAAACTTGTATTATCAAGAAAATGTCAGACGAAGGGCACCTTGCTTTGCACTGACGCAAACCGCCTCGCCTTTCCTAAGGAGATATAGAAAGCGCCTCTCTTGCTGGAGTGGAAACCAGTCTTGTGGGAAAGCTGGTTTCACTCTCTCTACCTATTCAGTCTGCTGCCGGTGATGTCAAACATGGTGAGTGTTGGCTTTTTTTGTTGTTCTTTTAAGAGAGGGGGCTGCGGGGCGAGGAGGAGCAGATTCGTTTTTGAATACTTCTTTTTGAAACGGTCTGTACATTTTGGAAGAAGGAGGGAGGAAGGTTGTCACAGCCGTAGTATTTGCACTTGTGAACATCAGCTGAGGTCCAAGAGGTTTCGGAAGGTAGGAGCTGAGAGGTTGGCGCGGTCCCTTACCCTGCGGATTCTCGGCACTGTCCTTGGTGCTGAAATCAGATGCCGGTAGGAGGCTAGTCGCTCTGGGTCCTAGAGGCTAAGAACGCTTGCTGGAGTCAAGGTACTTTAGACTGGTGCAAATTAAGGAGTTCTGCAATGTGCACTTGTGCGAGAAGACTTGATGAGAGGTGTGTGGATGAGCTGACGATAATACGATTATTCTCACGGTATAGTAACGATTTCTGGTACTAACGTTGAGGGATCCTTGAAAGATAACGAGAAGGAAGAAAGCAGACGGAAAAACCGCCGCTGGTAGTTCTTTTCATTTGAACCTCAGTTGGGAGAAAGCAAATGAAAATTAGTCATGAGTTTTGGTCCTTATGCAGGTGTACGGCCGTGACTTCTGTTTATAGGTATTCTGGGTTGGAGGCTGGCACTTTGCATGTTCTTTTACATGTCTGGGAATCTGGGAGTGAATGTAGATTGTGTAAGATAACAAACCTGGTTATCATCTGGTGTTTTAAATGTGGTTTGTCATTGTTGTTGGGTTGTTGTTGCTCTCCCTGCCTTTGCTACCTGGCGGGCAGGGGGGATTTTGGATCAGTGGGATTCGCACAAATGATTTGGCCTGAAATCCTCGCAGGTGCCAGGGCATCAGCTTTGTGGCCGCAGCTTGTCTATCGCTTACGGGAAGGAAAAAAAGAGGCAATGTGCATTGTTGAATGACAAAGGAAATGGGGCGGAAAATTAAAGAATCTCTCTACAATGGCGATGGGGACACGGGCCCTACAGCCGTGATGTGAAATCCAAAGAGGGCGGGGAGCTCGTGACTGTAGGGCTATTTCCACCCTCCTCCCCTTTACACTCCAAAAAGCCAGTTCTGCCTCTTTTCCTAGTTCCACTCCGTCAGGGAGGAGAATGTTAGCTTCCTCATGTCATCTGGTTATTGACCAGACAGGCAAATTGAAAAAATACTGACTGCAGTTTTTCGTGGAAAAGGAAAGAAAAAATTCAGATTTCAATTTGTTCCTCAGATACTGTTTTGGACCTGAGCTGCGAACATCTCTATAGGTAGACACGGGTTCATTTCAAAGCTGCCTTGATTTTTTTTTTTTTTTTTTGCACGAATTTCACCTTGTATTTGCAGGATTGCGGTGCTCCTAAGGAAATGAACAAACCACCAGCCAGCAGCCTGGAGGCGGCGGCGCTGGGCCACCAGGAGGGTTCATGCGCGCCCAGGACCAGCCCGGAGCAGGACCTTCCCGCAGCCTCAGCCACGCCGCTCGGTGTGCCCAGATCGGCTTCCACCGGCGCCCAAACTTTCCAGTCCCTCGATGCACGAGCCTGCGAGGCCGAACGCCAGGGGCTGGGGGCTTGCAAACTCAGTAGCCAGAAGCCGAGGCCGCCAGCCCCGTCCGCGGTTCTGCGGGATTTGAGCGAGGCTCATGGCGCGCAGGCTACCCCTAATGCGGGCGCAGGGCCTGGGAACGCGATGCCTTGTAAGATCCAGGCCCTCCGGGGCCCCGAGGAGGACGCGGACGTGAGTGTGGGCAAGGGCACCCTGGAGCGGAACAACACCCCGGCCGTGGGCTGGGTGAATATGAGCCAGAGCACCGTGGTGCTGGGCACGGATGGAATCACGTCTGTGCTGCCTGGCAGCGTGGCGACCACTGCCGCCCAGGTAAGCAGGTTGCTCTCGGCCAGGCGCAAGCCTCCTGCTCCCTAGGCGCGCCAGGGAAGCGGGCAGGGGCGGGTGCACGTGTGCTGATGCGGAGACTGGTTGGCAGTGTCAGGTAACGGGTGCTGACGGCAGCTTTTGGGGCTTCGGAAGCTGGCACTGCGCTGGGGTCTCCAGTTCAGGGCGGGGCGGCGGGGAAGGGGCTGTAGTGACCCTGCCCCAGGCGTAGACCTTAGGACCTGCAGCTCCCTGTCCCTTCCCAGCCTCAGTGGGAGCAGAAACCGGGCGCAGCCTGATTAAGCAATTGAGGCAGATATATTCCTACCCCCTGACGAAGACAACCCCCACTTGCCAATAACTGGGTCTTTAATTGTTTTTCTTAATTAAAAAAAGAAGAAAAACCCGGAGGAAATGCTCGTTTAAGCTTTGTAGCCTTTTCACTGTGAGTTTCCCTTTATCACGTGAGAGCTCATTTGATGAGAGATGGGTTTACAGGAGCCTGCTCCTGAAACTTAAGTTTCAAGGCTTTTCCAAAAATAAGTAAAATAAAATAAATCTGGTACCTAATTTCGTCATCATAATTTTATGTGGTTTCTCCCCTCAATTGTATAAGCTTCAGGCTCCACAAACCTGGTACCAGCTCTGCATTTTGATCCTTTATGCTCAACCAGAGGCATGAAAAACCCACAGAGCAAACCCCAATCCTGGGTGAAAGATAAGCAGCTATGACCGGTGGTCCCTTCTCCCACACAGGCTTCGTCGTCTTTCAGTTTCCCTCTCTCCTTCTCCTGCACTCTTCTTTGCTCTGTCCCATCCCACCTCCTTCAGCTCCTCCCTTCCTGCCTTTCTAATATTTCCTCCACTCCTTGGGCTCAGGGGCTAGGCACATATGCTGTGGTGGGTCCCTAAACCAGAACATCCGTCTGGATGAGATATTTTGGATTTATATAGCCCTTCTGTTTGTAGTCACTCTAGTGTTGCCTCTCTCTCTCTCTCTCTCTCTCTCTCTCTCTCTCTCTCTCTCTCTCTCTCTCTCTCTCCTTCATACACACACACACACACACACACACACACACACAGACTCATGCAGCAGGAGCTCAGCTGTTAGAGTAACTAGAAATGAACAGACACTTTGGCTCTTGTTTTGGGGGGGCCACTTCTGGAGTGTCCATCTGTGTGTATGAACTGCCTCTGGCAGCATGTGCCCACCAGTGTAACCCCAGATGGAGGCAGAATTTTGCTTCTCGTGTCTTCTTAACCTCCGCACTGCGGCAAAAGCTGCTGGAACTCCCACCCTTCCAGCTCTGGAAGAACGAAAGGTGGAGGTGGGGGTGGGGCTAGTACCTGTGGGGAGGAATGCAAGGGGATGTTAAAATGTTCAGTATAGATCAAGCCCTGCATTTGCCTGTTTTTAGCTCTGCCCATCTTTCTGTTGTTGCCTTTATGACACTCACCTCAGCCTGCCTTTCTCCCCTCGACTTCTTCTCCTGACAGCTACTTTTCATCCTCCTTGGTCTGTGGACCAGGGTGGGACATCCTGGGTTGCTAGGACAGAAGTGGATGGTGAATGAGGAGACGAAAGCCATGCAGTGGCTGGGTCCTAGAAGCTTTATGGGGTGTGGGGTGTCCTGAACATTTTCAGAGTTTTAGTTGAGGTGATTTTTCTGCTTAGTAATTAGACATTCTAGAATCAGGTATGCCCCCCCCCCAAAAAAAAACAAACAATCAAAAAAAACAAACAAAACAAAACAAAACAAAAAATCTCAGTGTGAGTTTGCAGAGGAGCTGGAAGATGCTCAGGGGAGAGCTGTTCTAAGCCCCTCATTTTACAGATGTGGACACAGAGGCTCAGAGAGAAGCTTGGGGGACTATATAGCTGGTTAATGGTGATATTTAGACCAGAATTCAAGGTGTTAAGTGTCCTATCTCTTACCATATCCACTTCTCTATTATCCCCCCTTTTTAACCCACACATCTCCCTCCTGCTCATCTCCCTTACTCCCCTCCCCCATGCCGAAAGTATCCCCTCCTCTAAATTAACCAACCAGGTAGAGCCTGCCTGCAGGCTTTGGCAGAGAAAGGAAGGCAGGGGCTCTGGCTGGCTTCAGGCATTGCAGTTCTCTCTCTGGCCAGAGCACAAGCTCCAGAGGGAGAAAGAGCTGGAGAAGGGGTGTGTTGAGAGGTTTGGGCGGGGAGGGGTGGGTTGGTTAGGGACCTGCTTGCTGGAGACTCTGGGCATGATATTGGGGCCCTGCTTGCCTAATGAACTCTTGGTCAGGGGTTGGGGATGGAGGGATCTGCTTGCGATCAATCAACTCGTTCAAGGTTTGGGGAAAGCTGCTTGCTGGTGTGTCCTGACTGCAGGATTTGGGCAAGAGGGGCTCAGGGGTTGTTTAAGGTGGATCTCAGATCAGGGTTGGGAGCCTGCTTGCAGAAAAACTCTCTGTGTAGAGTTGAGGGGTGAGGTTCCTGCTTGTAGATGCATTCCCTCTTTGGAATTGGGGTCCTGCTTGCTGATGCATCCTTGGTTGAAAAGTGGGGGCCTGCTTGCTGGGAAAGACCCTCAGCAGGGGGGCGGGGGAGGGGCTAGAGGGGACCTGCTTGCTGACCAACCTGGGGCTGTTATCCGACAATGTGCTTTTCCGCCCCCAGGAGGACGAGCAAGGGGATGAGAATAAGGCCCGAGGGAACTGGTCCAGCAAACTGGACTTCATCCTGTCCATGGTGGGGTATGCAGTGGGGCTGGGCAATGTCTGGAGGTTTCCCTACCTGGCCTTCCAGAACGGGGGAGGTATGGCTTTTCCAGTCTTTCCGCCTGTGGCGCTGTGGGGTGGGCATTGGGGGTTGGGGGAGGGACCCAGAGCCCTAGGATGGCCCCGAGGGGAGGCTCAGAACAACCTCCTCACACTCCAGCCTCAGCCCCTGAGGCAACAGGGTTAAGCCAGAGGGCAGGAGCTTCAGCCACTGTTTCACCCCAGATCCCAGAGGCTGTTACCTGGAGAGAGTTTGGGGAAGAGGTGGGCCCGCATGATTCCCCACTGATTCTGTGGGGAGGGGGTCTGGGTCCTGAGCCAAGTGTGCATTGATGCGGGGAAGTTCAAACTCTGTGTGGTGCTGGACACCAAATTCAGGATGCTTTAAGAGTATAACTTGGAAATCCCATTCTACGCGGAAGACCTTAGGAATGGGCACCTGGGTGATACTGGACGCTGGCTGCTGGTGAACCAGGTGTGAGCAGAGAGGGGCTAGGAGCTCTGCTCTGAAAACCCTCTCAGAAGTATCCCCACACATACGTCCCCTTGGACACCAGAGCCACAGTTTGAATAGCAAAATCATGTAGTCAAATGATTCCTTTCATTTGCTCTAACTGGGTGAGGAAATGATTTTGAAAGATAAGCATTGCTGAAAGGGCGAGGACACCAGTGAGCAAGCACGAGCTGCCAGGCCTCTGGGATCTGCTGTACCTCTGTGCCCTTGAAGGAGGGACACCACATCCCTGGCTGGCCCTCCCGAGGTTGAGGTGCCCAGGGCCAGTGGCTGCCCCCCCCCCCCCCTCCACTGCTGGTTGTTACAATAGGAATTTGCACCTGGAACTCACTCCCACAGCTGTTTAAACTTGACTCTCACCCCATCAGGTCAGGCAGCTTAAATTTTGTTCTGTTCTGTTTGTTGGTTTGTGTTTTGTTTTTGCTTCTTGGATGGGCTCCAGGCGGAATTTGGTGCAAAGGGACAATGGACACAGGGCAATTGAAAGGGAAAAATATGTTAATGCCCCTCCTCCCAATTCCAAATTAGGACAAGCTGACGAGTACTGATGAGGATCACAGAGCATTTGCAACCAGGGTGCCCTGGAAACCAGAAAAAAATGTGTGTGACCACCCAAATAAGGGCACCACAGCTGTTTTCCGGGTTTCCAGGTTTCCGCTGTTTTCTTAGGGAATTCCTAGACCAGGGCGGAGGAACCGAGTGAAAGGAAGGTGCTCTAATAAAGCTTTCAGTGACAGGAAGGGCAGTGGGTACAGAGGATCGCATAGGGACAGAGTTCCAGTTTGCTCAGTGAACCTGCCCTGGCTTTGCTAGCCAGGGATCGGCAAACTGTGGGGCAGAGCACACGCCCAGGTTCCGGAGCTGCAGAGCTGCACTCCCAGCCAGGCGTGAGGAGAGCCCCACTTTTCCGCACTGCGGCTCCAGGCTCTGAAGCCCTCAGCGCGGGGTGCAGAGCTCGCTGCCTCCTTCCCAGGAACAGAAGAGGATTGCACATCGTGACCCCTAATTTTAATCCTCAGCAGCCCAGTGCTGTGCCTGCCACCGGTCCTTCCTGGCCTGGAGAGTCTCTCAGGGATGTCCCTGTGACAGGAAAGGTCTTTCCTCCAGACAGGAAGTCGGGAGGAGGGTGAACAGAAAGAGGGCCCCAGGAAGGATTAGCTTCATTCCGTTGGGCACCGTGTTCTGAGCTCTGTCACCACTAGTCCTGGAATTGGCCTGACCCATGCCACAGTGCTTCCTGGCCCAAACCTTTTCAGAGATCATGGGTATTCCCCAAGCCTTCAATAAAACCCCACAGAATCTTCCAAGGGAAAGAAAGCCATAGTCTAGATGAGATGCCCACATAAATACTGTCAAGTGCTCAGGGAGAGAGATAAAGGAGATTTCTTGGAGGAGGAAGCATTTGAGTTGTCCTTGGAGAATGGAAGGGACTTCCTATGTGGAGAGGGAAGTTGAGAAGTGTGTGATGGCTGCGGTGGTGGGAGAGGAATGGGTACCTGGCCACCTGTCTGTCAAAGCAGGCCCCCGTGGCTGAGAGAAGGTGTGCAGGTAACTAGGTAAATCGGGTTGTAAGCCAAGGAGGGCTCCCAAAGTCTCGTTTCCCAGATGTAAGTCCTTGGAGGGTGGGGGTGCTGTAGAGATGGGGAGATTTCACCAAATCTGACTTCAGCAACGAGTCAAAGGTATGGACTTATGAAACACAAGAAGGGCTTAATTTTGGGACACTGAAACACTACAATTAAAGAAAAAAAAAAGACTAAAATCCAGCCAGCACACAATCCTAGTAACTCATCCAGTGGGGAATTGAAAAAAAGGAGTGTGTTTTCAGGGAACCTTTGTATTTTTTATTGTATAAGGGTGAAATGTCTTTAATGTCCCTGGGTGCCTGTGGTTGAGCTAGGCCATCAAAAGCTCTCTGGAAAAGGAGGGGGAAAGTGGGCCCAAGCCCAGCCTTGGCCTCCCAGCCCTCTCACTTCCCGTTCTCTCTTCCTAAGGTGCTTTCCTCATCCCCTACCTGATGATGCTGGCTCTGGCTGGGTTGCCCATCTTCTTCTTAGAAGTGTCGCTGGGTCAGTTTGCCAGCCAGGGGCCAGTGTCTGTGTGGAAGGCCATCCCAGCCCTGCAAGGTGAGTCCCCCTGCCTCTCAGCCTCCTTCACCTCACACTGCTCTTTCCGGCCACAGGGAGGGAGGCCTGCTTTGGTGATCAATAGAACTCATTCCTTCCTTCTCTATTTGACCAATACCACCTCTGAGTCCCACTAAAGAATGGCCCATGGTCACTTTTGGCATGTCCCATTCCTGGCAGATTGCCTCGATGCCCTTTGTCAACACAAAGGTCACCACTATGAGTGTATCCCTCTGTGCAAGAGAACCAAGATCTGTCTCTGCCTGGGCCCCACTGAAAGGATTCTGTAGAATGTGAGATGAAATGAATCCCTGGGAATTTTGCTTCCACAGGCTGTGGCATTGCAATGCTGATCATCTCCGTCCTAATAGCCATATACTACAACGTGATTATTTGCTACACACTTTTCTACCTGTTTGCCTCCTTTGTGGCTGTGCTGCCCTGGGGTTCCTGCAACAACCCTTGGAACACGCCAGAATGCAAAGATAAAACCAGACTTTTATTAGGTAAGTTTGGATATACCTACATTAGGTGAAGTACTCATTCATTCACTCATTCATTCATTCAATGAAGATTAACTGAGCACATATTATGTTTGCCTGCCTTAGGCTAGGTGCTGGGGGCACAGAGATTTTAAAAAAACAACACCAAATATACTTAATTCTAATATTTAAGGAGCTCATGGCCTAGAAAGGGGTAATACAATTTTTGTGTGTTCAGGAATAGCTGGAGTGTTTGTTTAAAAAAAAATGCAGATTTGCAGGCCCACTAGAGTCTGATTTATTAGATTTGGGGTGGGGAGAGTTGGGAAATTTGCATTTTAGCAAGGTCCCGAGGTGACTTGTATGCATAGTACAATTTGAAAAGCAATGAGGTCCAAGAGCCTAGGGAAGTGATTGATACAAGTGATTCTGGGTCTACACTTTACAAAATACTGCTCATATGGAAACAGACACTTCAACAAAAGCCCTTAGTAGACATGTGCACAATGTAATAGTAGAAGAGAGGAATTCTGCCTGGGAGACTAGAGAGTGTTTCTAGGGGTTTCAAACCACAGCACATGAGGACTTGGGAGCAGCCAGCCTATTGGGTCAAGGGTGAGTAGTAAGTGTGAGGAGACACAGACTGGTTCCTGGGCAAGGCTTCTGGTCCTTAAAACATCCTAGGCCCAAGGATAAGTACATCCGGTCCACATAACTTCTCTCCTCTGAGTCTGAGTTTTCTTCATTTGCAAAACAAACAGTAACAATGTCCTTCATCCTGCTCACCTCCTGGGATTGTGGTAAGGAGAAAAGAAATAAAAGGATATGATGATGGCAGCTGAAAAGTATAAAGCTCCACAAACTGAAGGTGCTATTTCTATCAGTCACCTTTGAAGGCTCTGGCCCTTTTACCAGGCCTGTATACAAGTGGTGTCTTCTCCCTGGGAGATGTCATTTTCCTTAAGCTGGACTGTGCTGAGGGCAGAATCCTGTGATCTCTATAGATTGGCTCTTATTGCTGGCCCCCAAATCAGCTCTTTTGTCCTTGCATATCTCAGATGTTATTTAAACCTTGGGATGTGTTTAAGAGAGAAGGTGCATCCTTCCCTCCCACCCCTCCTGATAGAGGCACATACAGTCGTTCACACAAGAGCATTTTCACACATGTGATCACGTACATACTTACCTGACCAAGCTCCTCTGGCAGAGGCTTTGAGGTAAGTCTGGAGAAGAGTGAAAACCAGGGTGTTTATGAAATTCAAACCCTGTGCACCTGGATGTGCTCAGACCTGGAGATGGGGATTTGTGGGGCTCATTAATGGTGTGAGCAGGAGTAAGTGTCTCTTAGACACTCTGGGTCTCGGTGTCCTCATCTATGTAATCTCCATGTTGATGTATTCTTAGGGTTGAGCAGTGGTTTTCTAACCGAGCTGCTGCACATTGCTTGCATACCTACTGTGTACCAGGCACTAGTCCAGGTGCTTGGAATATAGCGATAAATAAAATTCACCCGAGGAACTAACAAATTGAACGTCACTAGTGTCCATGGCAGCCCAATGGATTCAGGTGACCTGGGGATGGAGCCTAGGAATCTGTATTGTTAAGGTTCCCTGGGTACACCCAAGAGTAGGAACACTAAGGTGCAGTTTGCCCACATTCTGTTGGTCACCTCTGCAAAAGCTGCTGTCTGAGAGAACCCCCCTGGGCAGCTGTTCCTAGATTCACAACCAACACCCAGCTGCCAGAGGGCTCCCTGAAGGTGGTGGCCATGGTAGGCAAAGGGCATCTCCCAGGATGTGGGGCCTGGAATGGAGAAATATCTCAACGTCATGCCAGAGCCCAGCTTGTTCCCTCCAGATTGTGCCAGGGAGGAGAGTGCCCGCTGAAGGAGGGCTGCTGCCTTGATTCAGTGTCTGCTCCCCTGGGGACTTCCCTCAGGGACCATAGTGATCTGTGCCTGCAGCTGTCCCCCAGGAGGGATAGTAATTCAGCAACACCTTTCTTCTCTGCTAACAATATCCACCAATATTGGTGCAGCACCTTAACACTTAATGATAATACCCAACATCACTTACTACATGCCAAGCACCTTGTTAAACCCTTTTACTCATATTACCAATGTTAACATGAACAATAAACCAACATATGGCTTCCAATATTACTTTCACTTTAAAGGTGATAAAAACTGGAGCTCAAGATCATAGAGCTAGCTCTGTGGTAGATCTGGGGTTTGAACCAGTAGCTGCCTCCCAAGACTCTGGTCCTAACTACCATGCTAAATGCTTCCTAATCCACAAAGTACCTTCATAAAGGATGGCTCTGCTATTTGTAATAAGTGCCCAAGAGTTCCAAGAGGCAGGTGACGGGATCACTGTTTTGTAGGTGAGAAGGTGGACTTGAAGGCTCAGAGAGTGGGAGTGTCAGGCTGTGAGTCACAAGGTCCAGCCAGCACTGGGGTTTGGGTCTCATGACCCCTGATTCTCTACTCAGCCGGGGTTCCTGAAAAGTCCCAGGGGTTTCTACTCCCTCAGTCCTGCAGGATGTTCCCTACCTATTTGTAGCTGAGGTTCTATGGGGTAAAAAAGAAGCTTGTCTGAGTCAGAGACTCAGCAAAGGACTATACATGATTGTTCATTGCACATTTCCAGTCTTGGAAAAACATCAGAAACACACATAAAAATTTAGCAATTACTGGATAACTCCATGGTTCCAATAAATTATAGTGCATCCATACGATGAAGTTTTCTGTAGTCATTAAAAATGAATATTCATAAAATATGGAGACATCCTCACCATATTGTGTTAAATGTAAAAACAGGATTTAGACATATAGTGTACTTTTATTATTCTTAAGAAAATATGCATGGATCGAAAACATAGGAAGATGATACACAATTTGTTCACTGGCACATTTGGGGACGTTCTTTCTTTTCTTCATTATCTGTCACGGACATGTGTTTATTTTATTAAAGGCCTGGTGCACGAATTCGTGCACTAGTAGAGTCCCTCGCCCTGGCCTGCAGGATTGGGCTGAAACCAGCTCTCCGACATCCCCCGAGGGGTCCCAGATTGCAAGAGGGGGAGGCCAGGCTGATTGGGACCAAAGAGGGAATGCAGGAGGGCTACATGGAGTGTCCAGCCCATCTCACTCAGTCCCTATTGGCCGGACCCCAGCAGCAAGCTAACCTACTGGTTGGAGTGTCTGCCCACCTTGTGGTCAGTGCACTTCATAGTGAGTGGTTGAGTGGCCTTAGCATATCATTAACATATTATGCTTTGATTGGTTGAATGGACAACTGGACACTTAGCATATTAGACTTTTATTATATAGGATAGTCCTGTATGTGTATGCATGTGTGTGTGTTTTTGTTTTTGTTTAAAGCAAGCTGAGCACATAGACTAGGCCAGGGCACATGGATGGGGTATCTCTGGGTTTGTAGAGTTCCTGGTCTGGCTCACAATACTTAGGAAACTTTAAAGGCAGAGTAAAAAAACAATGCACAGGCTCCTGGTGGACTGGTACAAACCAGAAAACCTATGTAAGCTCTCAGCAGAGACAATGAACATTTCCCATTGATTATTCCTGGGAGCACATGGACAGGCTGGGCAGACCTTATCTCATTCTTGAATTTTTTCACTTGTTTGTTAAAAAGCAAGTGTGTGTGTGTGTGTGTGTGTGTGTGTGTGTGTGTATACCCCCTATCTGTTCTTCTGTGTTAGCTACACGTGTGTGTTCCCTTACAGAGGCTAGACAGAAGTAGTATTGGTCCTTTGGGGTTCTGGGGTGACTTAGAAAGATGATGATGGTCTGACTTGCAGAGACACAGGGGGCTTCAGAGCCCCACTGCTCTGATGGACAAGTCGAGAGTCCAGACAAAGGGTATCTCAGGCTCTCTCCCATCCTTCCAGGATGCAGTGTTCCACAAATAACCTCCCAAGCTCACCCTCTCCTTCAAACCCTGTAACCACTCTATCTACCCTGTGATAGCAGCAGCCCGTCCCAGGAGAGAGGGGATGAATCGCTGCTGTTGTGACCTTCAGCCATGGCAGGGAGGTATTTACCTCAGGTCCCTCTCAGCATTGCTAGGGACGCATTGCCCAGGAGCCCTGCCTCGCCATCCAGATGCTGGGACTGGGTACCAGCCCCAGAGACCCGACCTCCCCCTGTCCATGGGTAGAAGCCATTTGCCACACGTCTCTAAGGTGTATTTTGTAAGGAAGACTGTCTTCCTTAGGGGGACTGCACCATCCAGGTATCTGTAATGGAACACGGATAATCCATGCCCTGCCAAGTGAGACCAGCGACTGTTCTGTGAAATTAGGAGGCTTAGCTGGGCCATTTAAAACGGAAACCACATAAATACCATTTCTATTTCTGGAATGGCCTAATGTTCATTAGAACTTTAATTAAATGACTCCTTTTCTCCCTAGCCTTTCATGTGCTTTCATTTATTAATAATTGCCCGAGTAAAGAGAATTCCTTTCCAACAGCTTCCAATTTAGAATGATCATTATCGCCGCTCTTTGTTCAGGGTTGCTGGGCCGCAGAGCTCTCTGAAGGCTCCAGCCCAACCTGACGGCGCGGAAGCACGCTTCTGCCATCTGGCGGTGAGACGGAGTATTGCAGGAGGCTGCCGGGAGCCCTGGTGCAGTGCCGCAGGAGCACGTGACCTGGTACTGCAGGCAGCAGGGATGATCTAGACAAGATGTTGGCGAAGCGAGAAGCTGCCCGCTAGCTTGAGCTTCACAATGGCACTTTGGGAAACAAGCAGTTTGGGATTTGCTCGCATATTAGTGATCTCTTCAGTCTTAGGGGATGGGTGCATTTTTGGGCAGGAGGCCAAGAGATAAATACTGTGTTTAGGGAGGGAAAAGGGATGTGGATGGATGGTGCTTTAAGTGTCTGCATTCAGGTCACTGCTGGGGAAGCAGATGCTTCCATTAGTTCAGAGACCCCTTGCAACTCTCTGCTATTTGATTAGACTAAAGAACAAAATAGTGAATAAGAAGGCATTTTGAGGACGCTAAGAGCAGTGGTTCTCAGCCCCAGGGGCTTTGCAGGAGACATTGGGCACTAACAAATTCACCCCCAGGGAACCCCTGGGTTAGGTCCTGCTGCAGGCTCGCAAGCACACACATGATTGCTGCCTCCAATAGCCCGTGTGGGTGTGTAGAAAACAATGTCATATGTTCCTACTATGTGTCATTCATCCTGGCAGGCTGTGGGTTCAAGGTGAACGTATAAGTAAGCCTTCTGTGGCAGCAGCTCTTCAGGAGGTTTGCTTATGTCTAATTCATCTCTGCAAGTCATTTACTTTCTGTGGAGTTCTGAGGACCTGGATTGAGTACCGATTCTCTTCCTCATTAGCTGTATGATTTAAGGAGTTACTTACCTCGTCGAACCTTTACCTCAATTTTAAAACAGTGGTATGAGTACTCACCACATAGGCTGTTGTGAGCGTTACATGAGATAATGCTGCAAAGCATAAAGTGCTAAGCGCAGCGCGTACCGTACACACAGGGAGTGTATAAACGAGAACCACTGTTATCTGTGTGGATCAGGGTTCTGGGGTCTGTGACACATAAAATTCTGCAGTTCATCTCCATCTAGGTTGGTGCAGCTAACGCTTTCCTGAAGTTACTCTTCAATATTTGGCACATCTTTTTGGCTTTTGGTTTTCAATTGCTATGATATATGGGTGTATTTTCCGCATAGACGCCACCGTGTTTCCATCCTGTCCTCCCCTACAGATTCCTGTGTCATCGCTGAGCATCCCAAAATCCAGATCAAGAACTCGACCTTCTGCATGACCGCCTATCCCAACTTGACCATGGTTAACTTCACCAGCCAGGCCAATAAGACGTTTGTCAGTGGCAGTGAAGAGTACTTCAAGTAAGAGGGCTCTGTGTTACTTTCTAAGAGACCACCAGTGAGTTCATGAATGGATTTGCAGAAGGAGGTGTGGTGGCCTGAGGGGTGGGCTGCCTCCCTCTATGCCCCCCCTTCCCATTAGAGTGATCACTGAGGAAGAAGCTGTCCCCGGTTTGGCTTCTGGGCCTGGAGGTGAGAGTTGGCAGAGTGCTGGTGGGGACAGAATTGCTGCTGCTGTAATTCACCATGATGTGACACACACTTTGCAAAACCTGCATGCACTGTGATCTAAGCAGACCTTCCATTGACTAGTTGTTGCTTTTTTCTTCTGCATTTGAGAAGGAAAGAGGCCAAACGTCAGGAACCAAGTCATGGTCAAGGAGGTAAAGAACAAAATCATTTTTAAAGAACGCTTTCACCCAGTTTTGCACTTTCTACATGAGTATTGAGAGATGCTGAGGATTGATGTCCAGGGACCCTGGAAAATCATCGGCCCTCACAGGACGATTTAGTCAATTCATGGAGTTATTTTGTAAGGGAGGTCAGTGCAGGCAGCGTCCCAGCAGAGGGTACCTGAAGCATGTTCTCTAGTTAGGCCTCAAGTTGGGGGTTGTCCACTTGTGTGCTCAGGGCATTGGCAGGGGCATTTGCCTGCTCACCAGGCTAGTGAGCAAAGTACAGATGAGCAGGAGGATAGAGAAGGGCGGGGCCTGGGGCCTACTGGGCATGATGTCAGCCAAGAGCAAGGGCGGCTGCTGGTGTTCGGCTTCACATCCCTGTCTGTGAGCAGCGCAGCTAAGCTTCCATGTTACAGGTGAAGTCGGAGGTAAAGTCCAAATTGCTATGTGTCTCGCACTTTAAATGTTAGAGAACTGAATAAAATAAAATAAAATAAAATAAAATAAAATAAAATAAAATAAAATGCAGTATCAGTGGGGCCCTGGGTTGTGATGAAAAGTGCTCACTAATATCTTTACTAGTTGCCTGGCTGCCGTCAATTTCTGCGTCAGATTTCTCTTCTGTTCAGGCAGACAGAAGGGGGAGTGAGGCTGAGAGGAAATAATCCCTTTGCAGATGATACAGGAGCAGGGAGGATGTGCGTTGACTCACCCTGAGCACTGAGAAACGGAATCTGCCTGGTGGTTAGAGGAGGGTTGACCACATAACCCACGGGGTTAAGTCTGTGGTTAAATATCTGTGAATCAGCTTTCTGAGGCTGTCACTAGTCCTCTGGGACCAGTCTTCCTTTCCAAGAGTAAATGTTATTAGGAGCTTCATTCATGAGCCCTTTTTAAAAGGTGGAGTGTTTGAGGTGGCCGAGGTGCAGTGGAATTAAGTGCTTCACCCTTGAACATGGGGCGGTCCTTTCATTGCTCAGGGAAGATCTGGGAGCCCAGTTCACTTCCACCCTTGGTCACTTCCCTTAAGCTCTTTAAAAAAAAATTTATATATATATATATATATATTGATTTCAGAGAGGAAGGAAGAGGGAGAGAGACAGAAACATCAATGATGAGAGAAGAAAACCACTGACTGGCTGCCTCCTGCATGCCCCAATCAGAGACCAAGCCCCCAACCTGGGCATGTGCCCCTGACCAGAATTGAATCCAGGATCCTTCAGTTCATAGGCAGACTCTATCCACTGAGCCAAGCCAGCTGGGGCTCCGCTAAGCTCTTGAGCCCAGGTTGCCTCAGACGTTGAGACTGAAGCCCAGGTTGCCTCAGACGTTGAGACTGAAACAGGCTCTGTCACGTGGCCACTCCTGTTCAGAAAAGTGTGGCTAGGCCTTGCAAACAGCCTATCAGGTGTCACTCGGGGGCAGGGCAGGGGAGCGGGGGCGGGGCGGTGCTGCTGCCTTCAGAAAGCTCTGGGCTGTCACGTCTTCCAATTTTTAGTATATGTACTGCTGAAGCGAGCACGTGGGCTGTCATGTCTGCAGTCCCGTAGAATCTGGGTTCTGGCCGGGCCTTTGCTCAGGTCACAGGAAACCACCAACTACCCAACACAGCCCCTCATCCAGGAGGCGTGACAGGATTGCTTCGGAGTTGCAGGGATGGTTCGACTCTTTTTAAAAATATATATATTTTATTGATTTTTTTTTTTTTACAGAGAGGAAGGAAGATAGAGAGTTAGAAACATCGATGAGAGAGAAACATTGATCAGCTGCCTCCTGAACACCCAATACTGGGGTTGTGCCCACAAACAAAGTACATGTCCTTGATCAGAATTGAACCTGGGACCTTTCAGTCCACAGGCGGACGCTCTATCCACTGAGCCAAACCAGTATTGGTGATGGTTTGATTCTTACTAGAACTCACTGTCCTATAGCTGCCTCCCCTCCTTAGGAGGGAAGCTGCTTGCCCACCCTTGGCCAGTCTCCAGGCTACTGCCAGGGTCGGGGGTCTCCAGGCAGGTGGTGACTTCAGCACATACAGACCCTGACTTTTACATTTAAAACGAGATACACACGATTGGGATGGATTCTCATATAAGAGTAAAACAACAGAGAAAACACACCAAAGCCATCCTGAACAGTTTAGCGTTTCTGTTTGTGATGTGGCCTTCTGTGAAGACTTTACTCTTGGTAAGGCCATTGCGGGGAGGGGGGAGGAGAGAGTTGTGCTTGGACCCCCAAATGCCATGGAATTTGTTGTCCTCCTGGGGCATCTCATGGTGACGGTGGCGCTGACAGTCTTGTATGGAGCCTTCCCTGGGGCCATATGTGGCCTCCCCAGCACATAGTGAAGAGCAGGGTCGAATCTGTTGGTCTCTGCAGACAGCCCGGGTCAGAGAGTCCCTCACAACCTGATCTGGTCAGATCCCTGATGGGGGGTATGGTTGCCGAGCTGGCTTAAGGCTGCTGGCTCTGCTGGGAGATTAGATCCGGAAGACTTTCACCCCTCTCTCCTTCCTCTCGCCCACTCACAGGTACTTTGTGCTGAAGATTTCTGCGGGGATCGAATATCCTGGGGAGATCAGGTGGCCACTAGCCTTCTGCCTATTCCTGGCTTGGGTCATTGTGTATGCGTCTCTGGCAAAAGGAATCAAGTCTTCAGGAAAAGTAAGAAATGGGGTTTGCCTACGAGAAAGCTCTGGGACACCCAGGGGGTACTGTGTCATGAGCAGGTGCAAGAGCACTAGAAGGAGAGTCCCGAGACGTGGGTGCTGCTCAGAATCTGGCCCCGGGTAGCTGCAGGCCTCAGGAGTGACTTGACTCCTGCCTGTAAAACGGGACAATGAAACCTGTCATTCAGGGCTGTTTTAAGGCTTAAATGAGACAGATGTGCACAGAGCTCCTGGGGGCACTATGGGGAGGTTCCTTCCTTTCTGTTGGGACTGCTGCTCTGTTCAGCAGGTGGCCCTCCCTGATGTGGCTCTGTCACTCTCCTGAGCTAGACGAGTGCTGCTGGCCTTTTGCCTCTTGGTCTGGCTGCCAGGCTGTGACTGCTGCTACTGAGATGCTGGGAAAAGATCAAAATTGTGAAGGGACCCCTTCTTCTCCCCCGACCACCACACTCTCAACCCTTCATGCCCTTCTTCCAACCTCCAACCCATGTGCCCCGGTGCCCCATGTGCCCCAGCACCAACACTGACAGTCCCGCCGGGGGATCTGGGTTGAGCAAAATACTTGGCGACTTGCTGCACTGTCGTCGGCTGGCCCTTTGGAGGTGATGGGATTCCCACCCCAAGCTCAAGACATGAAGGCAGGGAGTCTGGACACTCAGGACATGCTCGAGTCACACTGTTCTTTGTGATGGTTTAGGACATGATAGCCACGGCCTCTCCCCATTTAGAATGTAGCCCTTGGTGGTAGATGGTATGGGCTTTTTGAGCAGTTTTCTTTTTAGATCTTCTTTGAGAAAGGTTGCCAACTAGGAATTGATGATCAGTCACCACCAGAAGTGATGACACTGCCCGGGAGCATGCAGATGTTAACCATGGAATCCTGGGTGAATGGTGGCTAAGGCCTCTCATTATCCCAGCTTCTCTGTGACTCAAATTCCATGAACAGGCCGTTGCTAAGCAGCGATGTCCTCCTTCTCCTGCAGGGAGATGAGCTCAGTTCCTCTTGCTCAGCGCCCTGGAGACAAGGCTGGCTCAGGGCTTTCTATGAGATCTCCCTTTTTAACTTTAAAAAATACGTTTTTATTGATTTTAGAGATAGAGGAAGGGAGAGAGGGAAGGAGGAAGGGAGAGAGGGAAGGAGGGAGGGAGGAAGGGAGAGAAGAGGGAGGGAGAGAAAGAGAAAGGAATGTGGACGAGAGAGAAACATTGATTGTGTCCTGCTTGCCTGCCCCCTACTGAGCCTGCAACCTGGGTGTGTGCCCTGTCTGTTAATCTAACCAGTGACCTTTTGGCGCATGGGACACAGCTCAACCTCTTTGAGCCACCCTGAGCCAGGGCTCATACTTCCTTTTGAGCAGCTAGAATTCCATAGGCAGGAGTGACCAGTGGGCAGCCTGAAGGTCAAATGCAGCCAGAGCTCCTTTGTGACTGAAATTCCACGAACACTGCCATCTCTAAGCAGCATGCCCTTCTTCTCCTCAGGGGCTAACAGTGCTAACCTAATTAGCTAGCCCTGGCAGGTGGGGCCTCACCTGACCACCTGTTCAGGGCTCTAGAGGGTGAGGAGGCTGCGGCCAGATGTCAGTCAGAAGGCTCAGACCAACCAGTCATTGCCACTCCTACCAAGTGTAACTCATTAGTTCAAGTTTAATTCCTCTGACAGTACTTTCTGAAATAGGTGCCTTCTGAAGCTGCCTTGGCACAGGGGACCAGTGGGCACAAAACCCCCACGCACACCTGACTCACACTTAGGCGTGCCCAGGACTTAAGCCAAACTGCAGGCCCTTTTATTTCAGCAAGATCATGATCCAAAGAGTGATCCACAGAGTGAGCATCCTCCCACACACCATGGGCCCAGACCTGAGTGAGGCAATCAAGTGCTTAAAGTTTGACATTTAAGGTGGCCCTCACTCTCAGGTTCCTGCAGGTGCCAGTTGGACCCTTAGAGTGGGTGCCTTCTTAAATTTTGGACTCTCAGCGCCTCACTCGCCTGGCCTCTTCTTAACCCTGGCCCTGCCTCATATGTTTCTGATCATGTGGTCCATGGAGGGTTATCAATGGGAAAGAAGAACGTAGGAGTTAGAAAGCTTCAAGTTTGTATCTTGGCTCCAGCTGGGAGACCTTGAGTGAGGTATTTAACCCCTTGTGAGACAGAACCTGAGCCTTCGTTTCCTCTTGAGCAAAACGGGGATACTAATAGCCGGTCCACAGAGGGGGTCATGTTCGTATATTCTCTGGTAGTGAAATGGGAAGGGTTGTCTCTGCCTGTTAGATAGGTACCAGTCTTGGGGTTTTCTTCCTGCCCCCTGCTGTCTGAGTCATGTCTTCTCCTTTGCCTCCTCCATCCTCACTCCCACCAGCCCCACGTGGTCAGGAGGTGCCCCCCCCCCAGGTGGGGTCGGGAGGTCAGTCTTCCCCTGAGATGTCAGATGCCTTTGGTTTCATAACAACTTCCGTGTAGAAAGGCTTCCTTAAGAGGAAGGAGAGAAGCAGGTTTGGCAAGAATAGGAGGGAGAGTCTGTGTCCCCCAATCTCCTAGCAATCCCTGAGCTTCTAGGCAGGAGGGAGGGGTGACTTCTGTGGAGGGTGGAGGGTGGAGGGAGGGGAGCAAGGGAAGAGATTAGGAGAGGTAGCTGTGCAGAGAAAGGAGACCAGCACTTCCCCGGTCTAGCCAGAACGAAAGAGGTTGGCCTTGATGAGTAACTGGTTTTGGAGGAAGAAATAACTTGTTTTCCTTAACCTGCATCTTGCCCCATTTCTGCTAATGGCAACACCACCCTTTCAGTTGCTGAGGACAAACATTTTGAGGTCATCCTTGCCTCCCCACTTCCTGCCCCTCATTCTGCATTAAATGGGTCAAAACATCCTGTTGGCTCACCCTGCAAAACATTTCTCCTAGCTCCTGCAAAACACTCTGGTTGGAACCATAGTCCTTCCCTGCTTGGATTACAGCCATGGCCTCCAACAGCGACCCCTGCTTCTGCCCTGGTGCCCGCAGTGTATATGCCACCGAGCCACCAGGTGTGGTTCAAGTGTTAGAGCAGGTCACCCCTCTGCCCAAATTCCTGCTGCAGCTCCCATTCCCCACCCAGTAAAGGCTCTACAGGATCTGACCCTCCTGTTCCCACCCCCCACCTGCCCATCACCACCCCTCTCCTGCCCTCTGCCCTCTGCCCTCTGCCTGCTGTTCCTGCCGTGCTCTGCCCCAGATACTCTGGCCTCCTGGCTGTTCCTGGGTCAGGTGCAGTCCCTTCTCAGGGCCTCTCTAGCTGTTCCAGGCTCCAGTGTTCTCCCAGATACCAGTGGCTCACTTTCACATCCTTCAAAGCTGGGCTTTTCAATGAGGCCTCCCCTGCATGTCCCACCCCCTTTGCTTTGCTCTACTTTTCCCTTTTCCACACATCACCTTCTAATATGCCACGAATGGTATTATGATTACTCCTGGTTGCCTGTCTCCTGTTCTGGAATGTAAGCTATTTGAGGGTACGGGCCTTTGTTGTGTTTACCCCACATACTTAGTGAAATGATCCCAAGAGTTATGTCTTAATCTCACCACCACCCCCAACCCATTCCCTGCAAGTTCCCAAATCTGTCCCGAGCCCTGAGATCCCAGTGTTTGCCAGTCCCTGCCACCCTGGAGCCTCCTTGCCAGGCCCAAAAGCCTGAGCAGCCAGTGCATGGTGGGATCTCTGTCTCCCTCCCAGGGCAGGTGCCCAGGATGGAAGGTGCAAGTGGGACTGGAGTGGCTCTGAGCCAACAGTGCTCACTGAATGGTTGTACATGCCCACCCCATGGATCAGAGAGGGTTTGGTGGGCCAGGATGGAAGCTCAACTTCAGCCTTCCTGGTGTCTTTTAAGGCACCTTTGGGTTGCCACTGGCCTGTGAGCTGAAGGTTGTCAGTGTTATCAAGACTGGTGAGACCCAGGCAAGACCAAGTGGCACTTGTATTTTGAGGGCCCCCAGGCCTGTGCCCCTTTGAATGGACTGTCCCATTGTACTCTCCCAGCAGCGCCAGTGAGGAACATGCTGCTGTTATCACCACTTTGCAGGTGTGGAAACTGAGACTCAGAGAGGATAAGTCACTTCTCCAGGCAGCCCAGCTCATAAGTGAAGGAGCTGGGATTTGAACGTAGGCCTGTGGGACTGTAGAACCTGTCTCACCACCTGCTCTTCTCTTATATACCAAGTCCTGATCCCAGGCCCTTCCTCCATTCCCAGGTTTGATTGACAGATAAGGAAGGAAAGCATCCCCATCCCTATCCAACCACAACCCCCAAGTTCTGCTCTTATTATTTCTCAAATGCTTCTTGACTCTGTCCCTTCCCTCCTCTCCAGAATCTGGGAACATCTTTCAACTGCTAGTCAAGGCCTCCTGTAAGGTGGAGTGATCACATGGTCCATGGAGGGGCATTAATGAGAAGGAAGAACATAGGAGTTCTTCATCACTCTTAGCCTCAATCTTTTATTTTGTCCCACCAGTGATTGGAGCTTTGCCCTCAGACATCTGCTTGCTCACTCACTTCTTTTGCCTTCCCCCTCTCCTCGCCTTACTGTCCTCCCAGATCCAGCTTCTGCACCATCTCCATGAACCTGTTAGTAAACTCCCAGGTTGAGCACAGTGCCCTCCCCGGATGTCACCGTGTCCTGGGTGTATGGTTTAGCCCATTTTTCTGATGCTGTCTCTGAGTCTTCCAGGTCATGAGTCCCTGGATCCTCATGCATCTAATGCCTGGCATAGTGCCTGGCTCATGTAGGTCCTCGGTAAACGCTTGTTGAACTTAGTTGTATCTAATAACCATCTATTAAAAATCAGACACTATGCTGAGGTTCATTTGATCTTCCCAATCACTTATTTTTAAGAAAGATGCCCTTGTCCCTATTACAGAGGCAGAAACTGAGATTCAGGGGGCTCAGTAGCTTGTCCAGGCTCTCATGGCTTCTCAGAAGAGCATTGCCAGGGATGCTACTCCATTTGAACTGAAAGTGTCTGATCATCAGATCAGGGGCCTTCACCAAACAGGGCGTCTATGAATAAGGATGGGAAGCTTACGCTAAAAGGATTAGTCTCTAATGGTGGAATCGGGACCTCAAGCAGAGGGTAGGGTAGGAGTTAGGGAGGCAGCTGTCCACTCAGCTGCTGGGTGGGGTGAGATCTCCCATAGCCGTTCTCACTGGGGGCTGACTCACCCATAGCCTTGGGTGTCCTCTCACAGACTTTATTTCGGGTTCCCTCTGGGTCACCTTTGGTCCCAGTGCCTTCCCCGTGTCCCCAGCCCCAGCAGAGTTTGGGGAGACTACCCGATGCCCTCCCCATCGGGCACCCGTGTCCAGGGGCAGGTCCCATCCTGCCTCTGCTGATGCTCCTCAGGCAGCCGCTGCAGGCCCGCCCCACCCAGTCCTCTGTTGCATGGCTTTTCTAGGTGGTTTACTTCACGGCCACGTTCCCGTATGTCGTGCTTGTGATCCTGCTCATCCGAGGGGTCACCCTGCCCGGAGCTGGCGATGGGATCTGGTATTTCATCACACCTAAGTGGGAGAAGCTCACGGATGCCACAGTGAGCTTACAGTTTTGTTTATGACACACCTGGAAGTCGGGGTGGGGGGTGGGGGGGGAAGAGACTGGGGGGATGGCACATGGGGGGGGGACTCAAGCTGGGACACTCTTCGACAGAAGGGGTCAGACCTCCTCCCACAGGGCATCTCACTGTCCCCTTGACAAAGGCCTGCCAATCTGGGAATGGCACACACTCAGGAAATCCTTAATGAGAAGTGGGCAACTGGGAGTCCTCAGATTCCAGGAATGGTTGTCCTACATTTGTGGTAGCAGCAGAGGCCGGAATGAAGAATGAAATCCCCTTAATAGCTTTGGGCCACCTCACACCACTTATCTGTTACTAATTATAGATGGAGTTTTGCTGGTTGGAAAATAATAGCACTTAGGCAATTCTATTTTAAAGGGCCCAGAGGCATTTGAATACTTGCAGCACATGCCACATGGCTATAGCCGTACACACTTGCACTTACTCTTTGCATATTCTGCACAGATTCCCAGAACAAACCTCCACATGAGGGGTGCTGTGTATTAAGAAGTGAGTTTTCTCACCTTAAAGAAATATGTGCTTTTCCAGAATATGTGAAGAGCACGAAGCTAGGAGTGAGTTTGCACATAACAGAAACGCCCAGGTAAAAGTTGACTTCACTTGCATGCACTGAAGCAGCCCAGTGGTAGACAGTCAAGCATTGGCTGGGCAGCTCCAGGTATCACCAGGGGCCCAGGCTCCCATCTTCCTGCCTCACCATCTGTGGCTGCCAGAGTTCCAGCCATCACAGCAGCATTCCAGGTAGCACAGAAGGGCGAGGAAAGGGGCAGAGATAGGACCCTCACTCTTTAAAAGTACGGAAACCCCGGAAGTCCCACATCACACTTGATTTTCACACCCTTGGCCGGACACTAAATGCTATGATCATCCTCTTCTAGCTGCATATCCCCTTGATGCGAGGAGGTGGTTCTTTAGCTGGACAAGTGGCTGCCTTAAAAAAACCTACAGCTTTGAACTTTCTCTTTGCGTATTTTAAGCACAATTTTAAAAACTGGATTTAATTTACAAAAAATGATGGCAGGTCCATCATACGAATCATGTAAATCTCCAGCTCACACTATTGAGTGGCCTTCTGGAGTTTTATGAGGACAATTAAAAGAAATCACCAAGAGAACAAAGAGGCGATGCAAGCCAGGTTCAAGAAGCTCGTGGCTTATAAACCCCCCTCCACCGTGGCAGACACAGCTTTGCTACAAAAGGGGCCTCAGAAGTTCAGGTTTTTAATGGCAGTTGTAATCTGTAGAAATGTTAGTTTTAAAAGGCTTATGTTGTTTATCCACCGACATATATCTTGCTGTTGCACATTGGTTTCTTTTTTAGAGTGATTACAGCTAAAGAAGGGACTCTCCCTTCGGTATAGTTTTCCATGGGAGGTAATGGAAAATAGAACATGTGCGTAGTTTATTGAGTTCCTCTCCTTTGGTTAGAATGGAGCTGAAATCTGCCAGGTAATTCACGGCCTTTTTGGCATTTGGCACCAATGAGATTTCTCATTGCATCAATGCCAAAGTCACCTCGTGCCCGACCGCCTTCGCCTGGGGCAGGGGTGAAGCCAGGGGCCAAGCAGACACCCCGGCCTGGGTCAGCTGCTCTCAGTGACCTTCTCCTCTTTTGCCTGCTAGGTGTGGAAAGATGCTGCCACTCAGATTTTCTTCTCTTTGTCTGCTGCCTGGGGAGGCCTGATCACACTCTCTTCTTACAACAAATTCCACAACAACTGCTACAGGTACGTGGCAGCCTTTTGAGTCCCAGTGGCAGCTGGCGAGGGGCCTTAGGGTCTGGGGACAGAAAATGGACTGAGGCCACACCCTCACCCTGCACCTGAGGAGAGCCAGAGAGTTGCCCTGGCACAGGTGAACCCTGCTCAGGCCTGGCTGCTGGCTTCCAGTGGCCTGCACTCCGACTGCACTGCTGACCCTGGCATGTGGGATGGAGAGTCTCTCTGTAGGCTGTGTGCAGGGAGTCGTGTCCTGTGATGGTTGTTCTGTCAGCAGCCCAGTCCCTGGGCCCAGCTGTATGGGAGTCACTGGTGAAGTCTGGTCATTCAGTCCCTTTACAGATGTCTTTCTAGAGACCCTATTAAAAAAGAGCACCTTGGTGATGCGTGTGTTAATTAACTCGATGATAGGGATCCTGTGACAATGTCTACATATATATTAATAATCACATTGTACACTTTTAATATAATACAATTTTTATCTGTCACCTATACTTCAGTGAAGCTGAAAAAAAATGCAAATGTTGAGTCCCCCTCCAAGATCTATTCATCAGCATGTCTGGAGGTGGGCAGGCCCAGGAACCTAAAGATCCAGGCAAGATCCTCAGGGGAGTCAAGGACAGTGACGTTTGGATAGTGTGATGTTAGGGACGCCGTGGAACCCAAAGACCCCGATAGACCCTGACCGGTTCCTGCAGGAGATGATATTTATTGAAAGTTAGACAAGTTATGACAAGCAATAGAAAAATAAGGCCCTTTTCTTGGGGAGCTGTAAAAGGGGAAATAAAGAAGGAAGAAAGGAGGAGGAAAGAAGAATAGAGGGGAGAAAAGGAATGAGGGAGGGAGAGGAAAAAGAAGAAAAGGAGGGTGTTGGGGAAGAAGGGAAGAAAGAAGGATGGAGAGAAGGATGTATCTTGGAGTCAGACAGACTTGTATTTGAGATTTCTTCACCATTTACTAAAACTCCAAGATGTGGGCAAGGAATGCCACTTCTCTGAACCATTGCTGTCTCATCTATAAAATTCAATTATATTTTGTTGAGCAATAGAGATGATGTTTGCAAAGTTTTCAGAACAATGTTGTGCACATAGTAGGTGTTCACTAAATGGCAGTTATTATTATTATCTATAATAATAAAAGCATAGTATGCTAATTGGACCCAACAGCTGAATAATCTTTCGAACATCCTTCTGGATGAAGCTGTGGCTGCGGGGGCTGAGGCAGAGGCAGAGGCAGAGGCAGAGGCAGAAGTGGTTACGGGCAATCAGGCAGGCAGGTGAGCAGTTAGAAAAGATCAGGCAAGCAGGCGAGTGGTTAGGGGCAATCAGGCAGGCAGGCAGGCAGGTGAGTGGCTAAGGGTGATGAGGCAGGCAGGGGAGGTGGTTAGGGGCTATCAGGCAGGCATGCAGGTGGGTAGTTAGGAGCCAATGGTCCCAGATTGCGAGAGGGATGTCCTGGAATGCAAGAGGGTGCAGGCCGGACTGAAGGACCCCTCCTCCCCTGTGCACTAATTTCATGTACTGGGCCTCTAGGTTTTAGTAAAGTATGGGATATTTTGTGAACCCAGAAGAAACAGCTATAGTTAAGCTGTGGCCTAGGATGGCTGGGATGGCCTCACAGGAGTGAGATCTAGGCTGGGCCAAATTTCAACAGTGCAGGCAGGAGGAAATCTTTACAGGTGGCAAAGGACAGTTAGAGGTGGAGATGAGTGGGAATGAGTGACAGGGACATGGGGCGGGGCAATGGGATTGGAGCTGATGCTGTGTGCACAGGTGGCTGGAGAGAGCCTTTGGAATTAGTCTGCTGTGGCTGCCATAGCAAATACCAGTAGTGCCTGACATCAACCACAGAATTTTCTCATAGTTCTAGAGGCTGGCAGTCCAAGACCAAGATGTTGACAAGGCTGAGACCTCTCCCCTTGGTTTTTAGATGTCTGTTTTCTCCCTGTGTCTTCCCATGGTCCTCCCCCTGTGCGTGTATCTGTGTCCTAATCTCCTCCTCTTATAAGGACACCAGTCACACTGGACTAGGGTCCACCCTGATGACTTCTTTTTAACTTAATTGCTTGTTTAAGGATCCTGTCTCCAAATACAGTTACATTCTAAGGAACCCAGGGTTAGGAATTCAACATATGAGTTTTAGGGGCACGTAGTTCAGCCCATAACTGTGGTGTCAGACTATGGTGTATGGACTTCTTTGGCCACTGCTGCTCACTAGCTTGTAACCGAGAATCAGTCTGAACATTGTCCCAGCGGGAAGCATTGCTCTGTGCTTTGTTAGAGATGAGGCAGTGTGGTGTGGCAGAAGGAACACGGGCAGTGAGGCAGGGAGTCTGGATTCAAATCCCGACCTACCCTTAATTAGCCATTACTTCCCCCTGGGCTTCACTTTCCTCATCTGTGAACAAGGGGCCGGACAAGGAGGGTTGTTTACTGAGCAGTTGCCTGTGCTGGCCTCTGGGCTGTGCAGGAATCATCTCCTTCTGTCCTCACAACAGCTGTGAGGGAGGCAGGGCCATGGTCTCCATTTAAAACCAGAGTGGGAGGCTCCATCTTGAGTCTAGGATGGCTGGGCAGGGCAGGCTGGGAAACTGCAGCCTGTTGCCAGCAGAGGGCGCTAGTCTCTCTTCCCTCTGCTCACCCTTGCCTTTTTAGCCAGGGTGCCCCAATCCAGTTATCACCATACTTTGGTGGCATTTTATGGTTCCACTGCCTTCTCTCATCCATGGTTCCTGTCCCCAAAAGGCCCCACCCCCTCCATTTCTGCTCTGATGAACAGACTTGCCTCTGTTAGTTCGCAGCATGTGGAGCCAGAGGCACCAGGACGGGGCAGTTAGGGGAGATCTGTTTGCGCCTTTGGTGCTTATAAATTCAGCCCAAGGGAGTCTGTGGTCAGGACTGGTTGTACCTGTCCTTGTGAATAAAGAAAACAAGGCCAGCCTGCAGCAAATGCATGTATGGAAATAGCATGTACACACAGACACGTGTTCACACGTTGTGTCCTCCCCCTTGCCTCTTCCTGCCCACCAGGCACACCTAACCACCAACTCTCATCTCTTCTCCAGGGACACTCTAATTGTCACCTGCACCAACAGTGCCACGAGCATCTTTGCCGGCTTCGTCATCTTCTCAGTCATTGGCTTCATGGCTAATGAGCGCAAGGTCAACATTGAGAACGTGGCGGACCAAGGTACAGTGTCGCTGTCAGCCACTGTTGCAGGGCAGGTTCCGAGCTCGCCTCAGGAGACCTAAGTTATGCTCTGCTAGGAAGTTGGCCTCTGGAACAGGACAGGGGTTGGGCACCTGGGTTCCCCTTTGCGGAGGGACAGAGATATATCCCCAGTAGAAGCTCACACAGGGTCAGGGCTAGCTGGGTTCTAGCCAGAGGGGTCGCTATAAAAGCCGCTGCCTTGCTCCCCTCTCCTCTGCTCCATTTTTCCTTTTCCCTCTGACCTCAGCTCCAGCCTAAGTAAGTTTCCCCTGTTGCCCCTGATGGGTGTGGGTCGAGGAGTCATTAGGGAAGCCAGCGGGGCAGAGGTGCACACAGGTGGCTGCAGGATGTGTCCCTTGCAGAGGACGCCAGGACTGAGTGCTAACGCCTCACAAGAGCATTGCCTTCAGAGCAGCCTTTTCCTGACGAAGCACTTTCCTGATTGTTGGGTTACATGTGCTCTCAGGGCTTTCTGCTTAGTCAGCAGGACAGACCTGCAGTTTTCCCCAGTGGGGGGAGGACAGGTTGGCTGCTGGTGGTGGGAGGGACGTAGAATAAACGTTGACTCTCCACCCAAGCCATCCTCTGTTCGTGGCTAACATTGGTGTGGCACTTCTGAGTTTGCAGAGAGCTTATATTTTTATCTTGTTTAATTCATATTCCTAGCACAGCATTTTGTAGAGAGAGTGAGTGTGTTTAAAAAAATTTTTTTTTTAACTCTTGATTTCCACCCAGGCTTGTTCTTCAAAGAATTTGGGTGTTTGGAGATTAAGGTTTTTGGGATTAAGGGACTTCATTGTGGCTATTGCTTATCATTATGACAATTCTCTCATCAGATCTTTAGGGGATGCCTCAGGGTGGGGCCATGCCAGGGGCTATATGTGGCCCTAGATCAGTGGTCGGCAAACTCATTAGTCCACAGAGCCAAATAGCAACATTACAACGATTGAAATTTCTTTTGAGAGCCAAATTTTTTAAACTTAAACTTCTTTTAACACCACTTCTTCAAAATAGACTCACCCAGGCCATGGTATTTTGTGGAAGAGCCACACTCAAGTGGCCAAAGAGTTGCATGTGGCTCACGAGCCGCAGTTTGCCAACTATGGCCCTACATAATCCAGAGCAGCTTCGCCGTGCACTTACCTTTCTTCAAGGAGCTCACTGCAGTTCTCAGCCAGTGGCTCAGGTGCCAGCACTAGAGAACTGGAAGTGTCACCTTCTTGGTGGGCTGCCCGTCTTTTCTGGCTCCCCAAGGGTAATTAGTGCTTCCGTGCCGAAACCAGTTTGGCTCAGTGGTAGAGCGTCGGTCTGTGGACTGAAAGGTCCCAAGTTCGATTCCGGTCAGGTCAGGGGCATGTACGTTGGTTGCAGGCATATCCCCGGTAGGGGGTGTGTGAGAGGCAGCTGGTCGGTGTTTCTCTCTCATCGATGTTTTTGGCTCTCTATCTCTCTCCCTTCATCTCTGTAAAAAATCAATAAAAATATATTAAAAAAAATAATTAGTGCCTCCGTGGCGCTGATGGTGCACTGCGGGCCTCAAAGAGTTAAAGAGGTGGCCTGCTTCAGGGGGTAATTTTCTCTCCCTGGAAAGCAGGTGGGCGGTTTCTGCAGCAGTGCCCTGGGTCGGAGCTGAGCCAGGCCTCTCCCTGGGGAAAACCTGCAGCTCCCTGGAGAATACGGGAGGGCGAGAGAGGCGGAGAGGGCTCTGACTTCAGGGGTGCCTGTGCCACCCCCACTGTCCTCATTCCCTCTCAGCAGAGGACCCTCCCTGCCCCACTCCCTGGCAGACCTGATGTGTTTTGTTATTTTTGTGACATTATCGTGTTCATTGTGACCAACATTTGAGTTCTTTTCTGCCCCAGGAAAGGAATTTGGGGGTACGTGTTGCTAAAACCCAAATGGATCTCATATGGGGAATCTCCACTGTGGTTCATACAATCCATCTTTTGAGAAAAAAACAAAACAAAACGAAAACAAAACCTGAACTTTACAAAGTTCCTCTTGGAGGAACAGAGTTTGCTGAAAATGATGCTTCCCTTGTACCACAGGGAGGCTGCCGAGAAGGCAGAAGGCCGCACAAGAAATCATTCTAACCCTGAAAGAACAGTAATCCCCAGGGGCTGGATCTTGCCACAGCCATCAGCCCCTGTCCTCCACCATGGCCATCCCGAGACCCTTTGCCCACTTTATGGGCCCAGCTGTCGCCGAGCGCTGCTGCTTCCTCCGTGTTTGCCATTGGAGACCTATTTGGAGCCAAAGTGTAATACAGCCTTTTCCTTTATGGTTCACACAGGGAGCCTTCCGAGGCTGGCTCAGCTGTGTGTTCAATAAACGCATAAAGCGGGGTATCTGAGGCCTTCGGGGCCTTATGCTTTAAATACCCCAATGCCCTCAGCATCGTTTGGAACAAACAACCCGATAAATACCAGTTTAAAAGTGCTGTTAGGCTCGAGTTGTAAAAACTCCAGGTGCTGTGATTTCCAGTTTTTAGACGTGTTTTACCTCGGCATTGTCTCTGCCTATTATCATTGAGTTTTCTTTTTCTAAAATTTCTCTATCGATTACGGTGTTACATATGTGTCTTTATTCCCCCATTACCCCTCCAATCCCCCCGTCATGCCCTCACCCCCTGTTGTTGGTGTCCATTGGTTAGGCTTAAATTCACAGCTGCTGATCGTTAGCCATCCTGGGTCAGAGTAATCCTCCCAGCCAGGCTGTGAGGCAGATAGGAGCCCTGGCAGGGCTTTATGATGGCAGAGAAAACGGCAGCTCAGAGTCCTCCACCAACACTTGTGGTATCCTTGGAAAAACCTGAATCAGAAATGCTGATTTCCAAGTTCATTGTTCACTGGTAATGGAAGCTAACATTCTGCAAGTGAGGCACTGGTCTCTGTGCTTTGCCTGCATTTTCTCATCGGTTCCCCTGTGAGGTATTGTTGTTATTCCCATTGCCCAGATGGGCAAAACTGAGGCTCAATAAAAATGGAATTACTTGTCTAGGGTTGCACAGCTGGTAAGTCATGGAGTATGTATTTGGACCCAGATCTGCCTGACCATTAGAACCCAAACTTTCTTAACCCTTACACTGGGCTTCACCACCCTCTTTCCCCCGTGGACTGACATACCCCCATCATTCCCAAGTCTTTGTAGGGCAAGATCCAAACTGTGTTAGATGGATTTATGTTTTATGTAAATGGCTTCTCCTGAAATGAAGCCATTCTGGGTATGTTTTAGCCTTTAGAACAGGGCTCTCAACCTCAGCCCTATTAGCATTTGGGCTGGATAATTCTTTCTTGTGGGGACTGCCCCATGAAGTGAAGGATGCTTCACAGCATCCCCGGCCTCAACCCACTAATGCCAGTGATCATCTTCCAGCATCCCCATTGTGAAATTAAAAAATGTCTCCAGCTGTTGCCAAATGTCCCCCTCGGGGCAAAATCACCTCTTGTTGAGAACCACTGTTCTAGGGCAGTGGTTGGCAAACTCATTAGTCCACAGAGCCAAATATCAACAGTACAACGATTGAAATTTCTTTTAAGAGCTAATTTTTTTAAACTTAAACTTCTAATGCCACTGCTTCAAAATAGACTCACCCAGGCCGTGGTATTTTGTGGAAGAGCCACACTCAAGGGGCCAAAGAGCTGCATGTGGCTTGTGAATTATAGTATGTCAACCATAATTCACCTGGTTCTTCCCCTCAAGGAGCTTAAGATCTAATGGGGAAATGGGTAGAAATAAGTAAAGAAAACCAACCAACCAAACAAGCAAAAAAAAAAAACAAAAAACAAAAAAAACAATGGGAGCTGTAAATAAGTAACAATTCAGGATTTCCATGGAGAGAAGGCACAGTGGGCTTCCAGGAAGAGGGGGCCTGTCTGCAATCATTTGTCTTGTTCTTTCCAGGGCCAGGCATTGCATTTGTGGTTTACCCGGAAGCCTTAACCAGGCTGCCCCTCTCTCCGTTCTGGGCCATCATCTTTTTCCTGATGCTCCTCACTCTTGGACTTGACACCATGGTGAGCCCTCTCCCGTTCCATCCCTGCCCCAGGGTCCTTCCGAAGACGCCCTTCTCCTGGGTCCTGCATCCTGCCTGCAGTGGGGGATGGGCTTAGTGGCATTTTTCTCTCAAGCTGTGAAGAGATGGTGAATTACCTGTCCAGGACTCAGGATAACCTTGCATTTGTGGGGGACTCGTGAGATGGTGCCAGAGAGTGGCCCTCTCTTCCTTTATTCCTCGCTCCACTTTCTGCGCATGATTTAGCCAACGCCTTTACCACTTTGGTGTCATTTTGCCAAAGCAAATTCTGAGGGGCAGGATAAGGGAGAATAATATCAAGTCGCTTTTAGCGGAATTGCTCTGGGTCTGAGGCTACTACCCATCATGCTGACAGGCGCTCAGAGGTTAGGAGGTGGGTGCAAAGAGGGTTTTTCCTCAAGCAGAAGATCAAATGCAGGTAAACCGGAGGAGGATTTACATCTCATGAATACAAAGTGCAGCTTCAGCTACCCTGACGGGTGAGTATGAATGCAGGCTCTGCGGGGCTGGAGGTAATGTCTAGAGCTCACATCATGCTTGCATTCCCTCGTGGCCTTGTGGACTGGGCCCAGCACGGCCTTTCAGGGCCTTCAAGGGAAGGCAGTCCTAAAAGCCAAACCCAGTACAGGTACCATGTTCCCTGTGGGAAGCACAGAGGGCTTTCTGGAGCCTTTGGGATGGCGTGGTCTATCTCAGACGCCCTTTTCCTGGCACCATTGCAGTTTGCCACCATCGAGACCATAGTGACCTCCATCTCGGACGAGTTCCCCAAGTACCTGCGCACCCACAAGCCGGTCTTCACTCTGGGCTGCTGCATTTGCTTCTTCATCATGGGCTTCCCGATGATCACTCAGGTAACGGGGGTGGGGACCCAGTGGCTGTCTGTCCTTTCACCCTTAGCGCTCAGATCTCATAATGGTAGCTAAGTCACTGGTGTTGCTGTGCATATGGCCCCCAAGCCATTGGGGACTCTGACCACAGAGGGAAATATGTCACCTTGGCTACTCATGGCACTTGTTACATCTTCCATAATTGAGATGTAGCCTTCCTGAGCCAATGAGGCAGGTGTGTCCTACTTTAAGAAAACCCAAATTTACTGACCAGAGAAATGTCCGGTTGCTTACTCCTCATACACAAGTGTCTCTACAGCCGCTTGAGGTCATTCTAGTCCGAGGGCCTCTGGACACGGAGTGTTAGCTCACTCAGTGGACGTGTTGCTTTTGCTCTCTGTGTAACCTTGAGTGGGTCACCACTTCGGGCCTCAGTTCTTTCATCTGTAAAATGATGGCTTGGAAAGAGATGATCTTTCAGCCTCATGGATTGTAGAGAGACTTACAGAGTGAGGCCACGATGCAGGGGGATGCAGGAGAAATGCCTGAAGGCGCCCCAAGGTTATATGAAGGTCAACCAAATGCAGGTGTATGGGTAGAAATGTTCATCGATTGCTTAAAGCAAAAACAAACCGACCCGACTGCTGTCACATGCACATCTTCAGATGCTGATCTTGACCTTCTTAGAGTAAGATGTTAGGCCCCTTTCTGTGCTTTTTCTGTTGATGGGCTTCAAGTCTCTGGGGGTGGGTGGTGGGTGGTGTTGCTTTGCCAACATGGCAAGGCCTCCAGCTTGCATGCTGGATCAGCTTTAGGGAGGGGAGATCCTTTGACTCCTGTTTGCACCTGACTCTCCTCTCCTGTTAGAAATGAGACAGAGCCTTGAGCCAGGCCCATTGATCTCAACTGTTTCTCTTTCCTGCTAGGGTGGGATTTACATGTTTCAGCTGGTGGACACATACGCTGCCTCCTATGCCCTCGTCATCATTGCCATTTTTGAGCTCGTGGGGATCTCCTATGTGTACGGTAAGGGAACCATCCTGCCTGCTGCTGTGGTAGAGCTGAGTGTAGATACACAGGTTTCCATATTTAGTAAGACAGCGAAAGGGCTTGCTTGCTGCTACCTAAGAGGTGCAACAGAGCAGCACTTTATTCCAAGCTTGTCTTGGGACCTCTGTGGGGCAGAGTTAATAAAGAAACAGCTTTAACTTCTACTCCGTTAGTTCTCACCCCTTCCGTATGCCCAGAGGATCTAGCCCAGTGGTTCCCAACCTTTTTTTGGTCATGCCCACCTAAGCTTCTCTAAAATCCTGATGCTCCCCCACCCATGGCATATAATTCTTATTTAAAAAGTGAACTATTCATGTGGAGGAATCCTAAAAGGCCTGTAACTTGCTCTTATCAAGCTTCCAAAGAACATGGCATCAATGAAAGAAAAAAATAAAAAAATGAAAGGAGTACTGAGGAAGAAATTTAAAAAATAACAATAATAATATGAAGTGATATAAAAAATAGCAAATAAAGTTTCAAAACATAGAGAACTGAAATGCATAAGTATGTCACTATATATATATATATATATATATATATATATATATGAGGCCCCTAGAATCATAAGAATGATAAGATATGCAAAAATTCACTGTTAACACTTCATTCTCGAATTGCCCCCCTTAAAAACCAATTTTGCAAGAACTTGCTGGATTTGAAAACATCTCTCAATTGCCTTTTCTTTCAAGGAGTGTTATAGACACCTTTCTAAACCAAGAGTGTGTGGGGTTATGTGTGGCCACGAGACCAGGGTCGCCTCTGCATGTGGCTTTAGTTGATCAGTGATCAAGAAGCCACAGTCCCTTGAGTTTCAGCAATGTGGACAATGGCCACTGGGATTTACATGGGTCTTTGCCTGACGTTATCCTCTCACACAGAGCAAAGATAAACTGACTTGTGGAAGGTGTCCTTGGGAGGGTGGGGGACAAAAACAACCACCCATGTACAGGGGCTTTTACCCTGAATCCCAAGGCTTTCATCATACACTGCTTATTGGCCACGATCTTAGTTGGTTTGGCCAGAGTTGTTGCTAAGCACATAAGGCTACGCAGGTGACTATGCCAGGGTATGACAGTGCCGAGACACTTGGGCAGGACCTGAGCTTTGACAAGTCAGCGTGGGACGACATTTTTGCATATTACCATGGAAAGTATTTAATATCTTCTTAAATGTCCATTTTTCCTAATCATCCTGGCACTGAGTCATTTGTCTGATAATTTCCTACATAATAGGGGTCATGTTGACACTAGGCTGGGGCTGTCTCTGGCCAAGGGCACCTGAGGGAGGGGCTCTAGCGCTTCCTGCCACCACACCTCACGCTCCGCCTCCACTTGTCTGTTCACAGGCTTGCAGAGATTCTGCGAAGACATAGAGATGATGATCGGATTCCAGCCAAACATTTTCTGGAAAGTCTGCTGGGCGTTTGTGACTCCAACCATCTTAACCGTAAGGACTGCATGCTGGATGGTACAGATGGGACCTTGTAGGTGGTGCTTTGTTCTTGAACAAGGACAATGCCGACATAAGAGCCTGAGAAGCCGGTGGGATGGGCATTAATTGTCTTGCCTTTCAGATGAGGAAAAGAGGGGAACAACTTGCTTAAAGGTGCTTGGCCAGCTGGGTGCAGAGCTGGATTCATGCACAGTTTGGGGCATCCTTATGGAGTATGTCCATGGTAGCAGTCTGCCTCGTGTACTGGTAACAGCCACGGTCCTCACAGCTAAGGCCCAGGCTCTGTTCAAGGTGCTTTGTATGTTTCCCCTCAGCGCTCCCATGGCAGCTCTGTGGGGTAGGCATTTTAATCCTCTCCATTTTACAGGCAAGGAAGCTGATGCCCAGAAATGTTGTGACTTGCCTGGCATTGCACACCCAATAATCAGCAACAGTCTGGGTGCGAATCCAGGCAGTCTGGCTGCAAAAAGCTTACTCCTAACCACTACTCAGTACAGACACTCAGTTGTTTTTTTTTATTGCTCTGAGAACTATTTTGTCTTCCTCAAGTGTGGTGATGACATTTCAAGATCATCTGACATTCATCTTAAAGATCAGAGCTCTTCATGTATCAGTAAATCTGCAAAGGGACTTATGTGCGCATCCCATCACCTCTTTCACCAAGCCATAGGCTGCAGGCTTTGCCTCCATCTACTCTCCAAGCACAGTAACTGATGGAGACCTTGCATTTCCTCCTTCCCGTCCCTAGCCTGAGGCACGTGGGTGTCTTCATCAAGGTGGCAGGAAGCCAGTTGTAGTTCCGCCTATACCCAGCAGGTGGCAGTAGAAACCAGATTAAGACCCTTCTTTTACTCCAAAGTACCAACCTCTCTCAGGAAAACAAGCCAGGATGGAAGTAAAATAGTAAAGAAAATATGTTTTCCCTTTTTAAAAATAATGTCACAGTTTTAATCAAAACACATCAACTTCCTGTCAAGAAGACAGAAGTTTACAATGAAAAAATATTTAGTATTTATCTCCCTTTGCAAGCACGGACACAGGTAGCATTCTGGGGCCCCATCTGTACTCACATTTTAGAGGCTGTTATCTGCCTGAAAAGTCCCACTAGACTTGGGCATGCAAGTTGAAAAGAAGTAAGATAGAATTTCCAGTCTCTTGAATTCAGGACCGAAATGTGTATGAAGAACTCGGACTTACCTAATTGGTGGGAGGAAAAAGCAATACTCTCCTGCCTCTGGCATTTTCCTCTCTGTTGGAGAGTGTCAAAGAATTTGATTATTTTCTGTGGAAACCTAACATCCTAACAGTCAGCATGCTACCTGTGGAGGTCAATGAGAGGCAGGCACTGCACGAACACCATCTCTGAAGTTCCTGACCACCCCGCTCAGGGGTGATTCTTTCTCTGTGGCACCTGGTGCACTGAGGCATGGAGAGGTGAAGGTGCTTGTCCAAGGCCCCCGTGCTTTCAGGTGGCAGAGCCAAGCATTGAATCCAGTGCTGTCTAGGCCACACTGGTAAATTCTAAACACCCAGTGCTTTTCAGATTTTTAATTCCAGTTTGGGATTAAAAACATCTTTTTGTGTGTGTGTGAGCAGACTGTTAGGGAAAAGGAATTCTAGGAACTTGCTATGTTTTTTGAGAAAGTCCCTTAACTATGCTGTGCTTTACTTGATTTCCACTATAAGAATCCTGTCAGAGACCTGTGGAGAGGTCCCAGAAAATATCCCGAACCAGAGTTCCCTTCTGGGGAAGGACAGGCAAGCAGAAGTGGTCAATGCCATCATCATCACCAACCACGGGCCCTCTGCTGGCCGACTCGGGGTGATACCAGAAAAGCTCAGGGCAGGCCCGACTCAGTGGCTATAATACATTACCATCTCTTAGGTAGTGTTTTATCAAAGTTGATTGGACCCAGGGGAGTGTGTTGCTAATACGTTTGGTATGATGTTTGTCCAACTGGAAATGGGTGTCGAAGAACCAACCCTAACACTTCTTACATTTTGCCCTTCTATAAAATGGATACTTGTGGTGTGCTGGGACAAGCTAAGATTATGGGTTTAAATTACTTCAAAACTCCTGAAATAAAATGGATCATTTTTATACATGCCTTCCTGGATTTATAGGGCGATAAATACTTCCCATGAAATCATTGTATACATAGTCAGATCACGCCACTGAATTATGTGCACACATAAGTGGATGTATTGCTGTTTATATAGTAAATGAAATGGAGCAACTTACCATAAATACATTAGGCCGCACTTCCAATAGATGGGTTAATAAAGCTTATAACTCTAGGGGCAAATGTTTAAAAGGGGGCCTAGAGTACAGCATCTCTTTCCATAAAGCAGTGTTTTTCAGTACTTGTCTTCAGGCTCATGTTGCTTCAAACAAATATATTGAGTTATTATTGCATTGAAATACTCGCTCGCCCTAGCAGCCAGGGCTTTGCAGCAATAATATACATGCCTCACATTTGTGCAGAGATTCACACTATCCCCCAAACACTTCCATATGTTTTTATTTCCTGACATAATTTGCTCCAATCATTTTGGGACTGTTATGTTACTGCTTAAGATAGGAGAAAGGTGGGGAGGAAGGACGAACTTAGTCACCATAATGTATGTGACTCCAGGCTGATTCAGGACGAATCCAGGGAATAACACGCTTTTCTCAGGGCAGTGTCCCCAGAGGCATGGCCAGAGCAGCTGGGGCCCCTGTTCTGTCTTTTTTGTGCTTCCTTTTTCAGCACACGTCTCCATTTGCTCCTATTCAGCAGCACTAACCAGTCTGCAGAGGGTTCTCCCTGGCATTGCCAGTTGAAGCATGCAGTGGTAGGAGATAGTGGGCAGAAAAGAGATCAGGACCACTCTTAAAACAACGGGGAACTCTAGAGTAAATACCAGGCTATCTTTCCCAGAGAACCCCCATGCTGCAGGCAGGGTGTGAAATATGTCCGTTTTAATAGCAGGTCCCTCAGTTCATTAGTGGGAGAACTGAGATTAGCCTCTTGATCTCCTGGCTCTCAGCCCACCATTCAGTGACGAGTCCCCTTCACCTTGAGCCAGTCAAAAGGGAGGCTGTGCATCCATTCTCTGCCCACAGCTCATCACTGGGCCAGGCTTCTGGCTCAGGCACCACGTGGGGACCACTCAGGGCCTCAGCCAGCTTTATAGCCAGCTCCCGGATGCAGGCATGGCCCCGTCAATAAGAAGAAGTAGTGATTCAATTCACGTTTTAAAAATTAAAATACAGTCCTACCAGTGTGACTTGGTTGGGGCATCATTACATAGACCAGTGTTTCCCAAACTTTTGACATATGTGTACCCCTTCTATAATTTTTGTAACGCTGAGTACTCCTCGTACTCATGAGAACGTAGAATTAAGTGCAGCTAAGCACAGTGCAGTGCATATCCCCACCAAACTTTGGTGCAACGCATACCCCCACCAAACTCTTCCCGTGCCCCTGGGTGTACGCATACCACACTTTGGCAAACACTGCCATACACCAAAGGGTGGCAGGTTTGATTCTGGGTCAGGACACATACCCAGGTTGCAGGTTTAATTGTGTATTGGATCCCTGCTCAGGGCACCTGTGGAGGCAACCAATTAATGTTTCTCTTTCTCTTGCTCTCTTGTAAATATAAAATTGTTAAAAAAATAAAATATACAAACCTTAAAGGTTTATTTCTTGTAACAGAAGCTGATGACCCATCATAGGAAGTATAGACAACCCCTTAAAAACACCCCCAGCCCCTCCCACCTCAACCCACCAGCCACTGTGCTGTATGTATGTCCTCAGGACTTGTCTTCTCAGCCTGTCTGTGCCCACACCTGCAGTGCAATGCTCCAGTCCTACGAGAGGCCAAAGCCAGGATCAGTAGCTAGGTGTGTCCTTGTCACTTCTCTGAGACTCAGTTTCTTCATTTGGAAAATGGATTACTGACACCTCCCTTTCAGGGTTGTTATGGGTATAAAATGACTTCATAGATAGATAAGCATCCAGCTCAGAGCAGGGGTTTGACATGTGGCTGTGGGATGAACAGATACCTCACCACCCTGATGCCTGTGTTTCTCTTTTCCTTCTAGTTTATCCTCTGCTTCAGCTTTTACCAGTGGGAGCCCATGACCTACGGCTCTTATCGCTACCCTAACTGGTCCATGGTGCTCGGATGGCTGATGCTAGCCTGTTCCGTTATCTGGATCCCCATTATGTTTGTGATAAAAATGCACCTGGCTCCTGGCCGGTTTATTGAGGTGAGTCTGTCCGCTGCTCTCCCCTGGCGCCCCCTCTCAGGGGAGAAGCCCTGAGAGCCCTGGGCATTAGAAACAAGAGATTCGCAAACCGATTCTAGAGGGAGACTTGGAGATTAAGTGATTACAGTTGCCAACATTTCTATTAAACCCGTTTTTATTATGTATTGTTCCTCTAATGGAGGCGCTGAGCCAATCCGCAGGCGGAGCTGTTGTTACGCTATCGCTCAGCGCAGTGACAGCTGAGGGGAATGAGTGATGGAGGTGCCTCCTGCCCTCTCACCGTGGTTTAAAGCCCAGTGCTTGGCTTTTACCACACACCAGATTCCCCCTTGCCAGTGCCCCCCTCTGTCCAAGGCTCCTCCCTCCAAGCATCTGTTACCATCAAATTAACACTCACTGCCCTTCCGTTGTGCCTGGGTTAGGAATGGCCAGGGTCCAGGCTGGCTAAAGTGTTACCATCCTAACAAGCGGCCCAGAGCATGGCTGGCAGAGATGAGACCTGTCTTTCTTTGACAGTGAATCCCATGCTAGACCTACTTCTTAATTACAATGCAAAAAAAAAAAATAAAAAAAATAAAAAAAATCCCCACACGCTCACTCCCCAGTGGAAGGGAAGGGGGCTGACACCACTTGTTGGGCCACCAGTAAAGTGTGGCCCACCAGGCTCCTGTTGTTTACGACAAGTTGCTTGCTCAGATGTGCTGGGAATAGGGCAGCTCTGACTCCGTCTTGGAGATCCAGAGGCCTGGCATTTTGGACCAGACCTGTGCTCCTCAGGGTTTGGCCCGGGGACCAGCTCGTTGGAGATGCAGAAGATCAGACTCCAGCGTGGCTCCACTGACCCAGAGCCCTGGGGAAGTGGGACCCTGGAGTCTACAGTTTAACAAGCTCCCCAGGTGATTCTAATTCATACCCACAGGTGAGGGGCATTGGATTAGACCAGTGGTCGGCAAACTCATTAGTCAGCAGAGCCAAATATCAACAGTACAACGACTGCAATTTCTTTTGAGAGCCAAATTTTTAAAACTTAAACTTCTTCTAAAGCCACCTCTTCAAAATAGACTTGCCCAGGCAGGATGTGGTATGTTGTGGAAGAGCCACACTCAAGGGGCCAAAGAGCTGCACGTGGCTCACGAGCAGCAGTTTGCCGACCAGGGAGTTAGCGTTAGACCAAGAGGCAGAAACACCTGCAGACAGAGGGCAGTGCCAAGTAGCTGTCGAGGCTTTGCTCTGGGTCGGCCAGGCTGAGAAGAGAGAGCGGAGGCTGCGGAGGGGAGAAGCCAGAAGGGAATAAAGCCTGTGAGTAAACAGGTGTCCATGTGCCGAGAAGGAGCCTTGGTTTTCACTGGACTAAAGGAGGAGGTAGAGTGGGTGAAGGGAGGGGTCAGAGTCTTCCTACTCAGGCAGATCCCCGGTTTCCGTCCTCAGGAAATGGTATTCGCTGTTGCCTGAGGTTATTACTAAGACACCCCTCCCCCCCCCAGGAAGCTTGCTGGTTCCCTGATGAACCTCCCACCACTGATGCAGAACTCTCTTCCCCCCCACTCCCCGAACAGAACATGGTGGAGTGCTACTATTTTGTGTCAGACTGAAATTATCTGAACTGAAGAGTTGGCTATATAAATTTACTATGGTTGATTTGGGACACAGAGGTTGCAAATGAATAATTAAGGAGAGATTAAATGAACAGCTGTAAGAGGCAGCTTCACTTTAATAGTTAATAAACATATAATTGTTTCCCCCTTATGTAGGGAGAAATATGTTTTCTTTCCTCTTTCTAAAATACGTTTCCGTGAGATTACGTTTTCAGTGAGAAGTTCGGTTGAAGGACTAGAGAGACCCCATTATTTGCAGCTTGCCTGCCAGCACCCAACCCTGCTGAACCAAGTCAGAAGCATATATTTTTGTCAACAGATAATTAAAATCTCTGCTCACTCTTGGCAATGTATCTTTGAGGTCGGGATATTTTTTCCCCGGCCATTTATATACTTTTGGGAAATATGCTAAACAAAATCCAATTATTTTGATGTAGCAACCCACTGTTGGAACTAAAGAGCAAAGTAATAGAGCACATGTGTCCTTTGCAAATTGCGTTTGGCACTGTCGGGAGAAGTATGCGGGTTCTGTTCATTTGGAGAGAGAGAAAAAAACGTGTAATTAAAATCTGGGTCCTTTTCCATCTATTAATCTTGTGCAAGGCAAATCCTGAGCAATTGTAATATTGCTTGCAGGGTGATGTAAATAACTTCAAGTGAGCCAAACGACTTCTCCTCTTTAATGAGTCCATGGCTTGGTTAATTGATTTCCACCTGCTTCTTCTGGGGGTGAGGGGGAACTTTTGGATCAAGGGGCACCTGGAAAATGTGACTGCACAGTTTGAGGTGTGGGTTGGTACCTTGGGGAAGGAGGGGCAATACTTCTGTGACCCTGTGTGTCTTTGGCTTCTTTGCAGAGGCTAAAGCTGGTGTGTTCGCCGCAGCCGGACTGGGGCCCATTCTTAGCTAAGCACCGTGGGGAGCGTTACAAGAACATGATCGACCCCTTGGGAACCTCCTCCCTGGGATTCAAGATGCCTGTGAAGGACTTGGAACTGGGCACCCAGTGCTAGTCTGATGGCATGAGATGGCCCAGACTTGGTCCTGTTTTCCCTCTCTGCCTCCCCCTACTGGTTTCCCCAGGTTCCTTCCCATTTTTCTGCTTCTTTCTCTCCACTTCTTGGTTCGTATCTGTGCATGAGAGTGGTTCCGTAGGACCTAGTGTCGCATGCTGTAGTGAAGAGCTAGACGGACCTCCTCAAGTGCTGTTCACCTGTGTCCATGGTGTCTGTTGGCAGTAGGGTTGGTCCAAAGAGCACGCGCTTTACCCCACAGGAGCGGACCAGCTAGGTGAGCGCTTTCTGGTGATGTCACAAGGAGGAATGTACGATCTGGCCAACAGAAAAATATACATTGTGTGTTATCCGTGGTGCCCGTAAGGCATCTACCGAATGGCAGAATCACAGGACCGTTAACTCAGACTTTTGGGTGTTGTAGGGCTGAGCTGAGCAGTATAGAGCTTTCATTCGGACACAGAAAGACCAGGGCATGGTACACTTGGAGTATCAGCTATGTTCAGAACATGCTTTAGAGCGAGACAAGGCCAGTGGGTTTAGGCACCATCACGGTGGTTAAATTCCTATTTTGATTCACAATTGGGGATGTTTCCTTCTTGTGGAACAACTGTCTTGAGTGCGAGGACGCAGACACTTCACTCTGCACAAGAACCTCAACAAAGAGTTGGTTCCCTTCCCGCTGATGTCTTTAAAAAAACACACCCCAATTTGTGAATTCTTTAGTCATATCCTCATCCCTCCACAAGAAGCCATCCTATAATTTGTGCCTAATTTTGTACGTTCATAGTAGAGCTCCATTCCAGTTTCTACATGACATTTAACACCATGGTTCAATGTCATGGTCCAGTGTTTCTTCTTTTGTACATGTCCTTCTATAAGCTGCAGATACCTTGCCTCTCAGCCTCTGGGACAATGAGACTTAACCTGGTTTATCTACAATTTCTCTATATAAAAACAAACTCTTAAAAGACAGATAACTTCTCAATTTTTACTCTCAACTTTTTCACTCACAGTCAATTCCAATTGTAGTTACAGAGAAACCAAGGAAATGAAGAGTTTACTAGAAAACAACCATGATATTCACTGTGCTTTTAGGTCACAGTATTTACAGAAATTCCTGATAAATACAGTTTAGATAAGTAGTGAGTGAGCCAATTAAATATAGTGTTTGAGACTACATTTAGATTACTCAATCTTAAGAGTTCCCAATTCACAGTACTTATAACCACACTCTGATGAGAATGAATTGAGTGTCTGCAGAGGTTGGGGAAATTGTAACTTCATTAAGTTCTTGTATCCTGAACATGTGTAGATGAAACTTTTCAAATGTGATATGTGGTCACATAGAATGTGTACCCCTAGTGGTGTTTCCTTAAAAATATTTTGGGAATCCCTGTAGAAAAGGTGAATTTAGAATAGTGTGGCCTGGTTTCTGTTTCCTGTTTTCTGATGGTAAGAGCAGCTGGATTTTCCCCCCCCTTTTCCTTCCAACTTCCAAGTTTTACATATACTTTTCTTAAAGGCAAAAGGTTCTGAAATTAGCTGGAACAGTTACCTTGGAGCTGTGGTTTTACCCATTTCTATAGTTAAGTTCCACTTCAAAGCTCTCTTTGCCAGATGTGTCCAGTGTCTGAGCTACCCCCTGTCTTGGTGCACCTACCTTCCTGCAGACTTGGCTGGAACGCTGAGGGCGGGGAGATGCATGCAACCAGAGGGGTGTTTCCATGCTGTGTTAAAATGCACAGTCAGCTGGAAGAAAAAAATTTGAATAAAGGGAAAATGAATAGCGTTGCCGTAAACTACCACTTGAGAGTTTCCCTGAAAACTGAGGAGAAAGCCAAGTTTCCGAGAAAATACATTATTGGTTCGCTGTGCAGAATGTGGGGCGTTTTCCACCTATGAGATTATTTCCTAACACCAACCAATGCCAGAAATCGATTCTGAGTAAAAAAAAAAAAAAGCCATATGTTAAAAACAGTAACCCTGTAATATCCTTAAAGGAGAAAAACATGTATATTTCTTAACTATTGGTGTTGTGGCTACTTCTGCAAATATTTGTCTAGCATCTTAGTAACATAGTCCTTAGGGGTATGTGTTTGTCGTGTATCAATGTGTCCAAGCTGACCTTTGTTCCTTTTTCCTTCCTATTGATTTATTGCATGGAATCTGTGGTCAATGCAAATCAATGACCTCAAAGTCTTTGAAATTTTCCATGTGTTTTTAATATGTAAGGAATGTAATCAACGTGTATTCCAGTGAGCAGCACTTTAAGAAGACATTTCACACAGTGAGCGTTAAATGGAGACCAGACTTGGGGATGTCGCATTGGGGTTGAGTTTTCCTCTAAGATCTGTCCTGTTATCTACACGTGCCTCAGTGCTTCCTGACAACCTCCACCCGTCAGCATGGCTGTCCCATGCCTGAAACTGCGAACTTTCCTTCCTGTTTGTCCCCTTGGCCCTTGGCCATTGTCCTCTTCCCAGAGACTCGGGCACTCACTATTGCTTCACGTTCGCACGATGGCAAGATGGCAGCCAGGTTTGTGTTTGGGATACACTTCTTCATGGCAGATGGAGCGCATGAGGGCATGCGGTGTGGCAGGTTGTCTTATAAGGAAAGAAGTTCAGGGTCAATGAATGAGCAAAACTTCCAGGTTGGGAGCAAAGCTTTGGGTGACTTAATCCTGGCACTAAATTCTCCCCAAAGTGGCCCTAGGATGAGTGAAGGCGAAGCTTCCTAGCTTTCCCGGATTTTGCTTCAGTTGCACAGGAAGGCCGAGTAGTTTTGAATGGTGGTCTCTGCTCGGTCATGGCTGAGCAACCTGCAGCCAAAGAGAAAGCGTGTTCAGATGGGCTGAAAAGCAGGCAGTGGTCTGATTTACCTGCCGGATTAAATACATCTTCAGGTAACCATTTGCCTTATAGGTGTATTTTATTGTTAGGATGATACTTACTAATTGACTAGGAGCTGATTTGTCTCTCATTTTTTTGGGGTCTTTCTTTGCACTTTATTATGGACCTATCATGGAATAGGTTTATTCTTAAATTGCATACTTGGCTAGAGTCATAAATGTAGTACTGTTGCCTATGAATAAAGATATGTTCGCTAATCAGGTCCTTCTATTTTTTCATTAACTGTACATGAAGAAAATATATTATGTTACCATATATATATATCTTATAGAGTACATATTAGATACTGTGTATTATTCATTTAAGAAGTCATTATTCTTGAGGCCCTACCTCAAAGTTTGTATTATGTACACAAATGCAATTTATTGTATTCTATATTTGCTTATTATATACTGATATAAATTAGAATTTATGCTAATAATGTATGAGTTCACAGAACCCTAAATAAATGTCTGTGTTTAAAACATGATGATCACAGTATTGTGTCTATTACAAACCCACATCCTTGTTTAACCAATGGCCTTCAGGTACCTGCAGGATTGATCTCTTTTATTGGGAGAAACCTGGAACAGAAATGAAAAACTGCTCTCCTGGGTAAATGATATTGGCATTATTGAAGAAACAAGTATTAATTAAATTGTTATATTCTTAACCACCAGAATACACTATTGTTTTCTGAGTTATTCATTACCCCTTCTAGGGAAGGTCAGAGAGGGAGGGAGAGAATCAGAGTGAACCTGAACAGCGAGACTGGGCAGTGTGTTAATGGTCATATTGTCCGTCTTCAATTGCACTTTCCTTCAGCAAACATGTGCGCAGTTCTTGCAATGAGTTGGACCCTAGGCAAAACTGAATAAAAAAGAAAACAGCCACAGATCTCAGGGAACTCAGAGAGACTAGTAATAAAACTATATATATATTGTTGTTAATCCTCACCTGAGGATATTTTTCCCACTGATTTTTATAGAGAGTGGAAGGGAAAAAGAGAGGAGGAGGAAGAGAGAGAGAGAAACATCAATGTGAGAGTGACACATTGATTTGTTGCCTCTCACAAGTGCCCCGAACTGGGCCTGGGATTGAACCCAAAACCCTCCAGTACATGGGCCGATGCTCTAACCACTTAGAAATAGGGCCAGGGCAAGACTACTCATAGTAAACAAACATACAAATTGGTCAATGCCATCTCTCCTCTTTTAAGTGGGTGGAGCCCCTGGTTTCCTGCCCAGAGATGAGCCCCAAGCCCCAGTGTCTTGTGCAGAGACTGGCTGCTGGGCATTCCTATTTCATTCTGTCAACCACGAAGCTTGACTCTACTTGTCCTCAACTGGACATGGAACATTCCCCTCACTCCAGCCCCATCTTCTGCTTCCCAGTTGGCAGGAGGAGCTGGGCTGCCTTTAGTGGGAAAAGAAATACCCTCCCCTCTGGGTTGTAAACCATGTGCCGAGAGCACCCGTGTCCATTCTGTGGAAATGGGACTTCCACATGTGCCAAGGCTTGTCCATACACCACGCTTTAATGGGCAGACTGAGCAGCAAATACCAGACAGTGCAACCTTACGCTGAGAGGCACAGAGTGCCCTGTGGGACCAGAGTTTAGAGCCGGCTCATCATCCTTGATTTCCATCCTGAGATCCCCTTGTTCAGTTGTATTTTCTTTTAATGTTTTATTCGGGAAACCCAAGCATCCATATAAGCGGAGAGAAAGAGTAATAAACTCACATCCATATTACTCGGTTTCAACGATTATCAGCTTTTGTCCAAGTTTATTTCATGTGTCCCTCTCCCCATGCTGACCTGAGACTTTGTTCCTGTGGAGTGTATTCCAGTAGATCCTTGCTATCACGGGATTTTACTTATAATAAAACATGCTCTGGTATGTGTGTGTTTCTCTTCATATCTCTTACCTGTTGACTTTTAAAATTATTTTTTTTAAATTTTCAATTACATTTTACATTCAATGTTGTATTAGTTTCAGGTGTATAGCAAAATGCTTAGACATCTGTAAACATGCAAAGTGGTCCCCTGATCGGTCTAGTACCCATCTGACACCACACACAGTGATCATAGTATCACTGTCTTCCCTCTGCTATACTTCACATCACACATGTTGTATTTTTTTTATACCCCTTCTAGATAGTCCTTCCTTAAGTGGGGACAGTGACAAAATGTGGGAATTTTTGAGCTCATATATCACTAGCTGGACCAACCTCCTCTGGGCAGGTAAAGAGGGGTACGGGGGCCTGTCATGTGGTGTTTGCTCTGACCACTCCCCTGGCTTTTGCTGTCCAATCTTTCATCTGCTTTTCACTTGGACAATACTTTTCTTACTGAGTTACTCTTGCTGCCTTTGATTCCTCTCTGCTTTTGTTTAAGCTTCCTTCCGCCTCCTTCCCAGATGTCCCTCCGGGAACCAGAGATCCAGAACCTCACAGTTGCACAGAAGTCCAACGTCATTCATTCCAGCATGTCTGAAACACATTCTTCTACAACAGCTTGTTTTGTGGGAGCTGGATTTACAAAGAGATGTATGTGAGATGAGTAATCATTGTCTAAAAGCGGCACCTGGGGGTGGCTCCTGACAACAGAGAACTCCTCCAGTGCCTTTACAGTAGCTCAGCGTTATAAAAATTGGGGTTACTCCTCTGATTTTCACCTTCTCCTCGGTAAAACAGAGTCACTCCTTTCTTGCCTTTTGATTAAGGTGACCAGCCCAAAGCAGGACGTCTGGTCACCTTACTTTTGGTGCAATCTGTGATTTTATGAGCATTTTGATACTGCAAGTCATTTAACCCACTGCTATTCCACTTTCCAGGAAATGTCTTCAGATATTTGTAGTATGAAAAGAAAATAATGCCTAGGATATAGTGTAGGTTCACATTTTCACCATTTACTGACCCATTCACTCATTTATTTATTTATTATGATCTACTCAGTGTCTCAATTATTTATATGTTTCTAGTATCTAATAGTTTGTGACACATAGTACTCAATAAATGCACTTTTAAATTGAATGAGCAAATATTGAGTATCGGCTTTGTACAGCGAGCAGAGCTGAATGCTATCATGTACAAGAAAAACATGGGTAAGACCAGGTCTCTCCCTCCAGGTTCTCAGAGTGAGGGGGGTTTTCAGAGAGGGGTACAAACATCACCACAGTACACAGTGCAAAGTACCGAGTGCCACAGGAGGACTCAGGACAGGAACATGCAGAGGGGGTGCAGAGGATTAGGCAAGACTTGGTGACATGGGGACACAGAGGAGTTTGACTATGAGGTGAGCTTTACAGGTGAATGAGAGCAAGTAAGGGTTGGCAGGGGGTGAGACAGGCCGTCTCAAGAAAGAGGGATGGACAGAATTGGAGAGTGGAGTATATGCTTACGAAGGCTGAAAATGTAGTTTAGAACCTGATGGTCAAATGCCTTCAGTGTCAACAGAAAGAGTTCAGACGCTACCTGACAGGCCACAGGGAACCAAGTGGAGAAGTTTTCCTGGTGGAGGCAGCGAGGGTGCCACAGATATAAGGCGCTAGGTTCGCATTCCA